AAAACTCTAGAAAACACTGCAAAGAATGTGAGCTTATACAAGAAATCACGCAACTTAAGTAAGAATTAAATAAGCATAATGCTTGACAAATCCTTCCTGACTACTTTTTAAATATTATTTATATTTCAGGGGAAGCTTCTTTCCCATATTCTTTCTCTGCTAACAACTTTTATTTGCTGAATTAACTGGCAAATAAAAGGAACAAGAGTCTGTACATACACAAGGCTCAGTGATAAAATTGGAGTCAGTTAGCAAGTTAGCAATGGATAGTCAATGCCTCTAAGAACCCCTTTTGACACTGTCTAATCTTTAACTGCTTAGTTATTTCCAAAAGCAGCAGATCCTTCGTGTGTGTGGATCTTATAGGAATCCAGTATCCCAGAAGAAAAATCAGTCCAATTCCCCAGAAGAGGGTCAGATGACCCTGGAAGGGCTATTGCAGCTGGAAAGGGAGCTTTCAAATGGGAGCTGGGGAAGGCAAGAGCAGACAGAGGATCAATCAAGGAACTATGCGACAAAAGGCCGACTAGCAAAGGGACCAGGGTAGGCAAACAAGCAGTAGTGACTCTCAAACAGATGAGGCTAAGTTTATACCACATACCTGGGCTTTGTGAAAAAGTTCCAGAGCTGGAGTTTCAAAATGACTCGAAGTCAACATTTCCCCCTTGCATTTGTTTTTCTGCATTAAGAGGGAAAAATAAAAGATTTCCTTTTGGACATAAGGGGCTCCTCCATTTTCCTCCTAGGGGACAGTTTTGTGTATCTTTTTGAGATTATGCTAATACGTCTGCCTAGTGCCAAGGAAGATCTCTGGACATTCCAGGACCCCCATACTGACATTTCTTCAAGAAACTGTCCATTTGCTGTGATGACCTAGAATTTGATGGTGTGTTATGCTAACAGAGTGCAATGTACTTGCAGGTAAAGTGCATCTGACAATACAAGCAAGGTAGGAGAGTGCTTATAACATGCTATGACTTAAAACAATACTGAAATTATACAGTGAGGGAATCGAGAGTTGAAGTGGATGTGAGAGCAAGATGGGCAGTTCTTATAATGCACTGAGTGCTGCCTCTTATATCACAGGAAAAAAAGCTCAAAAATTGGCCCAGGCCTACAAGATGCACTCTGGAATACCGAGGGAGAAGATAGAGGATGTAGCCAGGTCAACGTGTTCCATTAGGCCATTCTACTGTGCTGTCAGATGTTACACGTACAGCCCACCCTCTCCCACCCACTTTAGCATGACTCAGCTAAGCAGATTCATAAAGCTTACCCAGAGTTTTTCTAACCTAAAGCACACACTACTAAGAATCACCACACACCAGGAATCAAGTTTCAATCTAGACAACTACATTTCTTGGATAAATAAATGTCTTCATAAAGAAAAACTCTGGAGGTAGTACAGGCATCAAAGTTAGCACTTTGACTATGATCTGCTAAGAATTTAGGATATAGCATTTGGCATGATTTTACATTAGGGATAACAAATAGCCAATCAGTGCTTGCTGAATAAAAGACTTGGTAAAACGTGGAGTTTCTAATTTGGGGCATCTGCATGGTCTGTTTTGTTAGCATCTCTAGGTGAGGAGGAAAAAAGGGTTATTTGTGTAAACAACTTTTCCATCCCTTTTGGCCAAGTCCTCTTGATTGCAAAATCTTGTATATGAGCAGGAAGCTTAACAATCCTGTGACTGACAGAAGGAAGGACAAATTTCATGTTATCAGTTAAGTTGAAACATTTATTGAGTAATTCCCATGCGTGAGGTACCTTAAAAAAACAGGCCCTCCCCCATGGGAGAGCTCACAATGGAGGAAACAAAATAAACAGGTATTTTCACTCTAATGGGGTAGGTTCTGTTTTCATAGAGGTTAAGGCAAAAGAAGCCTGATCATTTCAGATGTCCTCTAAAATCTGCCTGTACCATGCTATGGTAGTCAGGAGAGGTTCCCATAGCACGGGCTCTAGAACTCAGCTTTAAGGACAGAAATACCTTTTCAGACTACCAAGAGTTGAGCAGACTCTGTGGGAGCTGATTCTCCATCAACTCACAGAAAATGAGCATTATAATGGAGAATACATTGGGAAACTACACTAGCAGGAGGACCGTGATTACTTGGCTGCACAGGCAAGATAAACACTTGTAGTTGGCAAGGCCACCAGAGAAAGACTGAGTAAGAAACTAGTAAGCATAGAAATAAATGTATTTACCAAGTACACCAAAAACATAACAAAGACCTAGACAATTTCCAGGGCTATCTCAGCCTAGTAATTTGTTGTTCCCTAAGCAGGAGATAAAAATGCCATTTCAAGATCTCGAGTTAAAAATCCAGAATGAATGGACCTTGACTCGTTATAGAAGACACATTTCTATGCTATTTTTCCAGATTTCATGCACCCTCATCTGTGCATCAAAAACCAAACAAAAACTTTGCTTTGGTTTAAAAAAAGCTGAGGCTCACTGCAGAAAATATTAAAGAATAAGGGACAAAAGGCTCGATCACTTACAACTCCACCACATAAGGCTAACTTCTTGAACATTTTTGGCATTACTCCTGCCAGGCCAGATCTTTTTCTATATATTGCATTTTGTATCATGTTTTATATACTGATTTTTAGTTTCAAGAGGGACTTTCCAGACCTTGTCCCAGATCCTAGGAATGCACTCTACTTGGACCTTGTTGGTATCTCATGAAGACTGACTACAGAGACAAGCGGTTCCCCAACTGCAGTGTGCATGACTGTCTCCTGCAGGGCTTGTTGAAACTCACGGCTGGGCCTCACCTCCGTTTCTGATTCAGCACGTGCGGGATGGGATTGAAAGTTGCATTTCTATTGAGTTCTCAGGTGATGCAGTTGCTGATGCTGTTGGTCTAAGGAATCACAATTTGAGAATTATAGAAAACTGAAAAACAAAAGAAACCAGTTGTTTAAACACTGGTGTGGTTTGTCTTCTCAAAGACTTAGTGAAAATACCAGTAGACTTTTTTCTCTTAATTCCATTTGGAAAAGAAATGGAATAGGTCAGTTTTAACGTTCAAAATCTATTCATATTTAATAAGAATTGGGTGTGCTTTGGCTAGGAAAACCTTGAGTGCTTGAGTTTTTGACCAGTCATTCTGCAGCCTACAGTGCATTCTGAGCAGGCAAAGGCCCTCAGTGGGCCCCCAATTGCCTCCCCAGCCTCATGTTTCCTTAGTCATCTTAGCATCAAAACAATTTCCGCTGCTCCCTACACTTCCCAGCCTTTACACAAGCTCTTCTCTATGCCTGGAATGCCTCCCTATCCCAGCACTTCTTCCAATCAGACTTAAAATCACAACTCAAATGTCATGTGGTATGAGCTTGTCCCTGAAACACTAAGCAGTAAATCACTCCTCTCTGTTCTTAGTACTTTTTTTATATGTTCTATTAAAATTATGTTTACTTACCTATATTAAGTTATAAAATCCTAAAGGTGGTAGGCAGTGCGTCATATTCAAGTCTGAACCACTGAAAAGCTTCAAGTGTGGTGACTGATTCAGACAAACAGATCATTGCAATATAAAACAGCACCTAACGCATAATAGGTACTCAATATATGTTGAATGGATGAATGCTGGGTTTTAGAAATAAAGGAGCCAATAAAGACATTTTAGTACAACAGCATGTCAGAGAATGTCTCTGAATAGTCCAGAAACATTTGTGTTCCCAGAGTGAAAGACAGTACAGTGTGGTGGACAAGTGTAGTGGGCTTTGGAGCTTGACTACTTGAGTTCAAACCTTGGCTCTGCCACTAGCACTGTATCCTGGGGTAAGTTATCAATGTCACACGCTGCAGTCACCAACCTATAAAACAGGGGTGACAGAAGTGCCCCCTCAAAGGGCTGCTGTCAGGCATAAATGGGTTAATACACCCTAAAATGCTTAGGGTAGTGTCTGGCACATGGTAAGTGCTCAAGAAATGTTTGCTATGCTTTTTCTACAATGTAAAAGGGACAAGGTGGGTTTTCCTCTCAAGAAACCAACAGCCAAGTTGGGAGAAATAACAGGAACCCGTGAAGGATATAATATAAAGAATAAAATTAGGTATTAAACGTCAAACAATTAAATACTGATGAAATAAATACACAATCCCCCAGGACAACTATTTTAAATAAAACTACATTCATCTGTGTGTGTAGGTTCAGGTGTTTGTTAAAAAATAAAACCAAAAAAGCAGCTCTAATACTGGGTTGAGTCATTTGAAATTATCATTTTTTTTAATTTTATTTTTTTGAGTAAGATTAATGCTGAGCTACTATCTGTTGCCAATCCTCCTCTTTTTTCTTGAGGAAGATTGGCCCTGGGGTAACATCTGTGCTCATCTTCCTCTACTTTATACGGGACGCTGCCACAGCACGGCTTGATAAGCGCGGTGCATAGATCTGCGCCTGGGATCCGACCCTGTGAACCCCGGGCCACGGAAGCAGAGCGTGCAAACTTAACCGCTACACTACTAGGCCGGCCCCTGAAATTATCTTTATAGGTCAAAGACTATCAAATATTAGGATTTTTATATGGTTCAAACCTAACACTTTCTAGTTATACCTTGTTCACAAAAACTGAAGGGAAGTTCTCCACAGATTCAAGCAAGAGAGAGAATTAGTTTTTCTGTACAACAGCAGAAAATAAAGGAATTCTGCCTCCAAAGCATCTCAGGAGGATATCTAATTCAACCCCCTAAGGCTGTGACATGAAAACTAAAACTTCTAGAAGAGAATCTGAAGGTAAATATTTTTAAGAGAATAACTAGGAATGTTGGTATATTTTCATGAATTCAGAAAAATCTCCACCGCCTCTCTTTTTCTTGTATAAAATTACAGGTATTATCTGTGATCTGGACAAAAAAAAAACAATTATAGCCTTATTCCTCTGAGTTCAGGCCTAACAGTAAAGATATAAACTCATACTTATCACTTTACGTTTTTCTATGTAAATGTATTTTAAAGCAATCAACTTGCAAATGAGCACATCAAACAATGTTACTCAAATTCTTCTTTAATAAAGAAAAATCAAAGGAATTCTTTAACAATTTTGCACAACTATGCTCAAGTGACAAAGATGACTTGTTTAGGAATCTGGTAGCAGAGATGTATGCTAAGAGGGTACCACCAAAAAAAGGCAAATTTATTCTATGACTAGAAAATGCTTTAAGATAAAAACATGAATTTAATAAGAAAATATTTCATATTTATCACCGAGACTGTTAATTAACTCATTTCTATATCAAGTTATGCAGCATACATTCTTTTCTCTAGTTTCTCATGCAAAAGCTTAGAGAGTTTTTCTCAAAATAGAGCAAGTGAGTGCTAATGGTTTCAAGTCAGGGCTTGGAGGCAGCCTAGAAGAGCAGGCTGGGAAGGCCGCTTACACTTACCTGTACTGCAGCCTGATATTCCCTCATTTTTTATAGTTAATCTCTATCACTAATGCATGATTCCTACGCTTACTCAACAGATAAATGACTAGAAATGTACCTATAAATTAATATGATATCATTTAATGTGGAAGAGAGTAGCTGGAGCCTAATGACACCCTGGCAGTCTCCTGGTAAAACAGAAAAACCACCTCATTCCAGCTAATAAATAAAAATAATACTTCCAACAAAAAGTGTTCATCCTGCCTATATGCTTCCCCTACGATACTGTGTAAGAAATTCAGAATAACATTAGGATACAAGAAGTAATGAGTACACCTTAAAAAAGGTAAGAAGTATAAGTGAGGACTGCTTCCGTAATCCTAACCACATTATCTCATTGGTGATTTTCAGTATAATTATTGTAAAAATACAATAAATACTATAATGGAAATATAGGGATTCATTTATTACTTTTTGTTTTACAAAAAAGGCACCCAATAATGCTTCTATTTACTTCTTATAAAAGATTATCAATTTACATTTAAAACAAAAAGCAAAAAACCCTGAACCAGTTCCTACAGACAAACACACAAAAAAGGGGAGAAATAAGATTTTTTCCTCCCTGCTTCAAAGCTTTATTACACAGATTCAAAGAGTGTTTGTTTTATACCATCCTTAAGTCAAAGAATGTATTGCCATGCTTCTCTGTGTTGAGTGTTAGGACACAGCAATAATGTTGCCATGTCAAATTTAAATACAGTCACAGTGACGTCACAATTGACAAATACATATACTGGAATTATAAGAATCAGGAGTGAATGGGGGAAAAACCCAAATGTTTTACAATATAGCTTTATCAAATGAGTTAAATGAAATATTAAATTTACGTTTAATAGGCTACCCTGTTAAAAATTAAGTTTGTGTAGAAAACATAATGAAACAGAACTAAAAACCATGTCTATCAAAAGACATAAACAGAAATGGTTTCCAAAATCTTTTAAGTTTGAGTTAAGCTTAAAGTCTAGTTGGTGGGAATTAACAATCTATATACTCTTTACACCAATTTTAGAACTCTAAATTCCACAATGACATATTAATTTATTCATTAGCTTTCTTCTGACAACAGAATTCTAAACACACACACAAATTAATGCAGTGGCCTCAGGGCCTTCGTAGTTAGCATTTCTTTAAGTTAGATTATAAGAACAATGACATAGTTCAGAAGACAAATAACCCCATGTACTTCACATGCCTGTTGATGTTGTACCTGATTCTTCTGTAAGATACAAAGACAATTCATCTGATTCTAAGTATATTTGGCAGATGTGTAAAAATCATACAAACGTTAGCATGTTTTCAACACAGAACGGAAATGTATTTGGAGAGATGGAGCACTCAATGTATAGAGCATGTATAGTTAATTACGTGGGCCACTTTAAATCAAAGGCATCATCATTTATTCCATTTTTAGACACTGTCATGGTCTCTCACACCTTATACAAGGTATGGTCCTAGACCACAGTATCTTCCAAAGAATATATATATATATATATTTATATACATATTTCTTTTAAAATAATGTTTAAAAGTTTTACTACAGAAAATCTGGCTTCAACATGGAAGCATTTTTCCTTTTCAAAATTACACACCTGCAAGGAAGGTAATTTCCTCTACATTTAGTTTTTTCACAATAATAAAATAAACTTCCTATACATTGCATTTAAATTGACAAAGGAAATTAAGATGTAAAGTTCTATGAAACTTTTTGTATTGTGACTGACCTCATTAAACATATTCAAGACACATTGTTGATGATTTAAATATAGTACCAACTTGGATCAGCTAAACTACAACATGTGATGTTGATCAATCCGTTAAACCAAATGTATGTTAAAACAGTAAGGAGAGTTAATCACTATTAAGGTTTAAAGGGAATTATAATGTATCATTAAAATATACATTAATTTTCTTGCTATTACTTGCTTCTATAATGCATTTCTTTCTAAAGCTAAAACCACATGCAGAAAAAATAAATGATATCTTCAAACTCATTCAACAGTTTGCTACTTTATGTGGTATGTAAATAAAGTCCTTTATTTAATTTTATACACATTATTGTATGCATTATTTTATTTTTCTTGAAGGAACTCAGCTCTTAATGTCAAAAATTAATGTGTTTACACACATGAGAACATTTTCTTAATGTTATGACTACCTCCAATTACATTCTTCCATAATAATGCAATTTCAGTTTTCATTGGAAAGACAGTATAAGCCTTTTAAAAATCCTATTATCTAATTTATAAAGGGAGGAGAGCACAAGCATGGTGACTCTCTCCCCGTCACCCCCTCGCACCCACCACTTGCCAAAGTCTCAAGAAATCCTCCAGCTTCAAAACATGAACAAAATCTCATAGGACTGATTTTTATTTGGTCATAATGTGGACAAGAAAAATGTATTCTTATTCTTTTTGATACTAATAGTCTTACTGAATTTGCTTTAATTTTCCTTCAAAAAACACACAGCATATGTTGATATGGATTCTTAAACTCATTTAGATTCAGTAGGGTCTTTAGAATAATATATAGTCTTCTGATTATGAAAGCAACTGATAGTTTATAGAAAAATTATATGCATGAGACCTCTAAGTAGAGAAAGAAAAATGAGAACATTGTCTTTCATGTGTGAGACCACTCAATAACTTACAGGATGATGTGAAAATAGTTTGGCTGTAATTTTTACAAAACTAAAACCCACTTCGACTGATGGAAAAAAATCAAACACTGAAGAATCAAATATCTACCAACTTAGCTAGTATTTCTGTCCAAATAAATGCTTTCCATTGCACTAAATATTAGAATTAGAAATTCACTATATGTTAAGGCATATTTTAATGAATATGTTCCAGAAGTGCACAGTTATACTGGTCAGTTTTCCTATTTCCCCACTCCTACCCTCACCCTACTCCTCTTCCCAAGGGATCAAAATGTTAAGTCAAGGTTTTGGCGGCTATTGCAGATTTGAGCTGGCATACCACAGTGTGTTCACTAGGTTTTTATGAGCATAAACATGAAAACGTTACATAAAATGTACCATAATTACTCCACACTCCAATCTAAGATGGTTTAATGTCTTGACAAAAGGTGAGACGACTTAAGTACATTTTACATTTTGTGCATTTAGACCACCATATGCATAGATGTTCTAATGCTAAATTCTTGTCTTCAGTATCTCATAGTGCTGGATGCTCGGAAATACGACAGAAACTTGTAACACAGACTAACTACAAAGTACCAGATGTTTCTTGCCATTTGTGATCTTGCAATAAAAATGCGCCAGATCAGGATCACAAGGATAGTATTGAAACCGTAACGTATGTTCCTCAACCTGGAAAGCAAATCAAGAGATGTGTTAGACAGTATTTTCTAGAATAAAATATTGTTGGATAGCAGATAATTAATGTTCAGTTTTGAATCTAATCAAAGTTCAAATATATATTACCTTAAGTTAGAAATTAGCAAAAGTCAAACCTGACTATGCATACTCCAGACAGCAGTCCATCAAACAATGTATCACTTACCTCTAATAACAATGAATAACACAAAGCTTTTTTATAACAGTACATGAGGGATGCAAGTTTATTCATTCAACAAGTATTACTGAGCATCCTGCATACCCCAGACTATGCTAGGCAGCAAGTATATTGTAGGTAAAAGAGACATGTATTTTGCACTTCTGAAGCTTCCTATATAATCTAAAAAGGTTTATTCATTATATACATCATCCTACAGACAAAATAAACATTTTTTTGACATCTTTAGCTGCTTTCAAGTTGTCAGCCAAGTGAACTTACTCCTTCAGTTATAGCTGACAACCACATGATGAAAGGTCAACTGGACAAGTCCTCACTCATGAATCAAACATGGCACTAGCTCTAAACAGGAGGACCCTCCCACTCTCAAAGAGTAACATGCACGTTATCTTGCTCATGTTTCAAAACATTTTTGGTATTGTTTAATGGTATTAGAAACAAATACAGACCTTTAGATATGCAATAATATTACATAAATTCCATTAACTTCAATATCCATGAACAATGGATGTAGACAAAAGAGCTTTGAATTAGGAGTCCAAAGATCAGTGTTCCAGTGTGCTGTCCACTTAATACAACATGACCTAGGCACACACAACTTCCCAGAGCCTCAGTTCCTCAGCTGTACAACTAGCTGCCTGGCAAAGCCTCATAGAAGAATATTGTGCAAGTCTTGAAAACTGTTATAAAAATTGTATTAAAAAAACTACAAATAAAAGAGATTACTATTAAAATTAACCGCATCTCTGAATGATGGATTAACAGTGATTTTTCCTCCTCTATTTTCTGAGTTGTTTTTTTTTTTTTTTTAACAATCAGTATGTATTACTTTTATAAAGAGACTAAGGGAATAATTATAACTTTATTTTATAAACAAAGAAAAAATTCCATGATGAATGATGTATTATTATATCTCTTTTCCTCTTCCAAAGATGTATTCGAGTAAAAAAAACTTTAAATAAATAAGTTACCTCAAGTCTAAAATACATTTTTATTTTCTCCTAATCTTTACTTCTTCAGTAGCAATATAAGGGAAGATAGTGATTTTTAAAACTAAATTCCACCTGAACACAGTGCTAAGGAACAGCAGAAACTGATGGCGACAGTAAGTTTCAGCAATCTTAGGCTAAATCAATCTACCACAGTTCCAGTCCAAAGGTAAGCACTTTTCCTAAATACAATAGATTATTAGCATAGGATCTTTCACTTAGTATACCAGCTTACCAAAAAAAAAAACTGTGTAATATTCCAAAAGACAAGATGAAACCAAACCCATGTAAAACTTACTTGTTGAGATGTTTTCTAGCTGCAGGGAGGCCAGACATTTCTTCATTCAACACATATTTCTTAGTTCCCATGCAGTAGTTCTCTATATATTCTGCCCAATGTAACTGCCGTACATCAATATTAAAGGTCTACAAAAACAAAATAGTTATTGGTTACTTTCTTGAGTAATTTTTTTCACAACTAGTCAAAAATTCATACTTTTTCTAAAGGCTAATTCCAAATGCCACGATTATAAAATGTTTACAGTATTAACTTTTAAAGTCTTACTGCTATTCACAAAAAAGCTCTTTTATTTCTATTCCTTACCTTCTGTTAAACACAGAAACATTTGAGAAAATCTGAAAACTCATGTCAGCATTTAAAGAGGAGTATACAAAGTGTAAGGAGAAAGAAGCCTGCATCATTAAAAAAAAAAAAGGCAAAATCTCATTGTCCAAATGGATCTATGTATTCCTCATTTATACATGTATTGATACATTTATTTCCAATTTCTTTCTGTCTACAGTATCTCTCTTCTTAAACATCCTGCAAACCACACAGATTAATTTTCCTAGAGAATAGTATTGACATCAAGAGAAATAATACATCATGAAAGCTTGCTTAGGAGTTTAGATAACAGTAACTAAGACATTTGATGAAAAGGGTGGATAAATCTAGAAAAGAAAGCCTTACAAAAATGCTATTTCATGACAAAATAAAAGGGCTTATTTTGTGCTCCTCCATACACTGAGTTTTTGTTGTTGTTGTGATAAATAGATTATTCACTATATACCGTTAATTATCTGAAAAAAACAAGTTCTAGACAAAAAAGAAGCTACCATAAATAAAACATTAAAGTAACTGAAATAAAACGGAGACGACTTAAGATAGAAGATACGAGAAGGTCTTACATAATTGTAATTGGGTTCCAACAGGAAGAGTGAAAATGAATGGAACAGAAGCAACATCTGAGAAGAGAATGGCTAGAAATTTTCCAAAAATGATAAGACATCAAGCCACAGATTCAAAACACACATACACCATATGCAGACACACATATTTGGGGATATCAGAGAAAAACTGTTGAACGTTAAACAGAAAAATTTTAAAGATGTCAGAAAAAGGCCATATAGATTACCTCCAAAGGAATGACTATTAGACTGACAGGTGAATTCTCAAGAGGCAATGGGAAGCCAAAAGACTATGAGAAGATATCTGTCTTCCAAGTGCTCAAAGAAAACTGCTAATATAGAAGTCTATAACAGTATAAATATCTTTGAAAAATAAAGATGTTTCCAGAAGAAAAAAACTGAGAAAATCTGATACCAGCAGAAGATCCACCCTAGAGGAAGTACACTAAAGGGTATTCTGTAGGTAGAAGGAAAATGATTTCAGATCGAAGTCTGGAGATGGAGGAAGAAATGAACAGCTTTATAATAAAAGGACAATTATGCTGGTAAATGTATATGAATACTTACTGCATAGACTGCAATAAGAGTAATGGTTGTGCGGCACATAACACATACGCAGAATTAAAATATGTGACAACAGGGGCCAGCTCCGTGGCGTAGCGGTTAAGTGCAGGAGCTCTGCTGCTGGCAGCCCGGGTTCGGATCCCGGGCACGCACCGAGGCACCGCTTGTCAGGCCATGCTGTGGCGGCATCCCACATAAAGTGGAGGAAGATGGGCACAGATGTTAGCTCAGGGCCAGTCTTCCTCTCTCACACACTCACACACACACACACACACACAAAATACGTTAACAACAATAGCAGACAGATGTTAATCCTTGCATTGTCTGGGAAAAGGTGGAAGTATCAATATTATATTAGACGATAAATTAAAAAACGATGCTGTAACCTCTAAAGTAACCTACCAAAACAACTGAAAAAGAATATATTTCTACGTACCTAATACAGATGGGAAAATACGAAATTGTAAAAGATAACCTCAAAGAAAGCAATAAAGAAAAGAAAAAAGAACTTAAAACGGGATAAATAGAAAGCACTAAGATTCAGATTTAAATCCAAAATTATCAGGAATTACATTATAGATTAAATCTTCCAATTAAGGGTCAAAAATCATCAGACTGAAAAAAAAATTTTCGATGTGCTACTTATAAGAGAAATATCTGAAAGTAAGAATACAGAAAAGTTGGAAATCAAAGGATGGAGAAAGACAGACATTTCTACCAGCGATGTATGAGGAGGTCCACTTGCCTAAGGCTTTACCAGTGTGTGCTGGCAACGTTTACACTTTCACAAATCTGACAAGTAGTAAATATCTCAGTCTAGCTTTAATTTGCATTTCCATTTTTATGAGTGGGGTTGAGTACCTTTTCAAATGGTTAAGAATCATTTGCATTTATTTTTCTACAAACTGTTCATCTCTCTAGCCCATTTTTCAATAGGATTATTGACACTTTCTGCCGTTTCTACAGAAGCTTTTTACGTAGTACAAAATGCAACTAAAATCACATTGAGACACCATTACACACCCACTAACGTGGCTAAAATAAAAAAATGAAAATGCCAAATAATGGGGAGGATGTGGATTAACAGGAACTCTCATATACTGCCACTGGGTATGTAAATTGATATAACCACTTAAGAAAATGTTTGGCATTATTTACTATATTAAACATATAAATACCCTTTGACTCAGCTATTCTATTTCTAGATATATATCCTACACGCATGTGTACACATGGTTCATAGAAGAATTATTCTCAACAACCCAAAACTGGAAATAACACAAATGTCTATCAACAAAAGAACAAAAAATACTGTATAATACCATTTGTGTAAAGCCAAAAATGGGTAAAACTAACACGTAGTGTTAGAGTTCAAGACAAGTTACTTTTGGGAGGAGAGAGGAGGTAGTGATTGGGAGGGGCCATGAGGGGATCTTCTGCGGGTAATAATGTTCTATTTCTTCACCTGGGTGCTCACTTTCTAATAATCCATTGAGCAGTTTGTGTTGCACACTGGGATACAGGGGTGAGTGTGGGGGAAGGAGAAAGCAAGGAATTAGCAGAAGCCATAAATCTTTCAACCTGAGATTATCTGCAGGACCCTGGTAACTTAGACCTTCTGCTTTCAAGGCTGCAGGCAGGGAACAAGACTGGTTATATAAAGCCCATGGCCCCATAAGTTAAGGAGTCTTATAGAATACTCCTGCAAAAGGATAAGAACCCAAAAACTTGTATCCTCAGAGCAAGGGCAAAAAAGAAGTAAACCCACCATACACAGAAGTGGGCAGAGAAACAGCACACTTGAGGACTTTTGTCACGAAGAACTAGTAGAATGGACTAGATCTGCACTGTCCAATATGGTAGCCACAAGCCACAAGCAGCTCTTGGGCACCTGAAAGGTAGCTAGTTTAAACTGAGATATGCTGTGGAGTGCAAAACGCACACTGGGTTTCAAAGGGTCAGTATGAAAAATACAAAGTAAAATATCCTTTAAATACTTCTAAAATGTTAAATTATTTTTAAAATTTTGTTCAAGTTATATATTATTTTGGATATATTGGGTTAAATAAAACAAATCATTAAAAAACGTTTTTAAAGAAGTAGGAAGAGGGGCCGGCCCCGTGGCGTAGTGGTTAAGCGCACGTGCTCCGCTGCTGGCGGCCCGGGTTTGGCTCCCAGGCGCGCACTGACGCACCGCTTGTCAAGCCATGCTGTGGCGGCGTCCCACATAAAGTGGAGGAAGATAGGCACGGATGTTAGCCCAGGGCCAGTCTTCCTTAACAAAAAGAGGAGGATTGGCACAGATGTTAGCTCAGGCCTGATCTTCCTCACCAAAAAAAAAAAGAAGTAGGAAGGGAAAGGAAGCTGGTCCTGGGAAGATGAAAAAAAAAAACTCCTTTGGGAAATTATAATCATGAACCAGCCCTACAGTCTATTTAAGGCCTGTATTCACCTGAGTTATGCTAAAAACCTAATCAGATATTTTCAAGTGGTCCTGGCTTGTTAATGCCACCTAGATGGTTAATGCTAATAGTTACTAGGCTATTGGTGAAAAACAAAGGGAAATCTTCACTGGAAAACTGCAATTTCAATCTAGGCTTCAAAAACTTCCCACAGAAACTTCAAGGAACGTGAATTTACAGTGAAACAAACAACAATAGAAAACAAAGAAACAAGGTGCCATAAGTGAGACCCAGCTTCAACAACAGATAGTAAATCAGATGTAGCAAAGCCTTTAGTAGTTTGAACTAGCAGAAATGGAATTTAAAACAATTATACTTAACATGTTTGAAGAAAAAAATTCTAAAGATTGTTTAAAAGAAATGTCTGTAAGATTTGAAAAATAAACTGAACTTCTAAAAATAAAAATATAATAACTGAAACCCAAAATTCAATTGGGTGGTTTAGACACAGCTGATATACTGCCATAGAACTTTAATAAATTATCTAGATTTCAGACCAGAAAGAGAGAGATACAAAACATGAAATTAAAGTTAAAAGACCTGGAGCTGGACCGGCCCCGTGGCTTAGCGGTTGAGTGCGCGCGCTCTGCTACTAGCGGCCCGGGGTTCGGATCCCGGGAAAACATCGGCGCACCACTTGTCTGGCCACGCTGAGGTGGCGTCCCACATACAGCAACCAGAAGGATGTGCAACTATGACATACAACTATCTACTGGGGCTTTGGGGAAAAAAAGGGAAAAAACAAAGAAAGACTTGGAGGAGAGAATGATATAACATATACTAAAATTTCCCAAGAAGATAAGAGAATGGTGAAGAGGCAATATTTTCTTGAATCGCTAAAAGACATCAAACTTCAGATCCAGAAAGCCCAACCAAAACAATAAATTTTTAAAAATTACAACTACATTCATAGTAAAACCACAGAACACCAAACATAAAGAAAACTCTGAAAAGGAGCCAGGAATAACAGATCACCTGCAAAGCAGCAGCAAATTAGACTGACTTTTCAACAGCAACAACATAAGACAGAATATAAAATGAGTTATCTTTAATGTGCTGAAATCATGTTACAGAAACAAGGGTGAAATAAAGACATGTTAGATAATCAAAAACAAAGAGTTTACTACTAACAGACCCCCTACTAAATCATATTCTGCTATCTGGATATATTTCACGGAGAAAGAAAATGATCTTAAAGAGAAAATCTGATAGCAAAGACACCGTAAATATATAGTTAAATCTAAGTAAAACTGAACAAAATAAACATTTCTACTTATAAGGCTTAAATAGAGAACTAAAGCAATGTATAACTATATAAGTTAGTGGGGATGGTACTCACAACTACAATACTTTGAAGTCCTAACTATCACTGAGGAAGAGGCTATCAAAATTGCTTAATTTAGACTTTGTTAGGTATATACGTTAAAATATCTAAGGTAACCTCAAAAAGAACACACACAAAGAATTTTAAGTTTCAATCTAACAGAAGGCAGAATGTCAAATGATAAAAAGTAAAAGAGTATATGAAAAACAATTTCTGAGAGAAGATTTTCCTCAAAACTCAAAAAAACCAAAGTGTTCGAGGGAAAAATGCATCAAGAAGTCTAAGTTCGCTATGAACCTGACATTAAAAGGAAAAAGAGAACATTTCAACCACACTTTGAAAATATCTCTGCCACTCTCAAATACATTATAAATTCTAAGGTAACGCAATTTTATTTCACCACCAACAATTATGATTGAGGCTTTAATGAGAGACTATAAACAGATCAATGACTTTCTTGTTGCATAACGGTTGTGGAAAATATCCAATTATTTCTCAGGTTGCTAATGGTTCTCTAATTAGTATGCTACTTATTTTCTAATATAAAACAGAAAACACTTGCCTTTTTATCTTCGGGGTTTAGTTGATTCATTAACATATTGACATTGTCAGTATTCCAAACCCAAGAATTACTTGTGAAATATTCAAGAAACACCATAGCTTTGTGAAGACGAGTTATTGTTTTCATCATCCTGTATTATAAGAAAAATTGACAAATTCATATATTGCATAGATTAGGAAAAATCTCACCACCACCCAGGGTATCAATTTCTATATTGAGACATTAATGGTAAAACTGTAATACGTAATTCAACAAGTGTACCAAAATAGCAGGCAATAAGAATATTTCTGCATCTTGAAAGAATATTTCATAAATCCAAAATGGAAAAAAAAATATTTTTAAGCAGTAGCAAATAAATTTAATACTGCCTAAATAGAGTTCTGCTGATATATGAAATTAATTTTCAAAGGAAATATAACAGTTTAGGATCAAATTTTCTACATATAATACTAGCCAAATAAATAGATTCAATCAGAATTCCCTTGCCTTTTGTTCCTTAAACCACATTTTAGTTCAGCTACATTTACTAAGATTTCCTGTGAACTCATAACATCTTTTGTTATATTATCTCAACTCTTCAGCATCAGACAAGCAAAGTATACAGAAATATTCGTTTGCCATTTAGTCTACTCTCCCTCTCTCCATATATTTTAAATAACTTTCTCTTTAACACTGATAGGTATCACTTTTGATTGTCTGGATGTGCCATGATATCAATGACTCATGTTGAACTTTGTGAAACAAATATTCAAGATATTCACTTATCTCCCCAAATCACCAATTTCCATCCTTATAGAAATAAGGGAGTTCAATATTTTTTTGTTTCTTTTTAAAAGGGTGCAGGGCCTTAATCTTTAAATCTGTCATTTTATATAGCATGGCTCACTGTAAGTCATTGATATCATAACACCAATCCGAGCAGTAACATCTACAATAATAATTACCTAGGATAAGCAGGAAAAAGGAAGAAAGAACTTTTTGAAACACAACACACACCAAAACTTCCTAACCTCCGATAAACAGAAAAATAATTTGTGGAGAAATACTTAAAAAAGAATTCTATTTATATTCCCACAATAAGGATTAGAAATTAAATGTAGTTTACAGAGTCCCAAAATTAAGGGCTTTAGAAATGGGGGAAATAGTAGAAAATCAGAAAATCAGAAATGGGGGTGGGGGGAGGATCAAAACAGTAACATTAACTAAGCAATTCTGATCATACAAATACTTTTAGAAAGAAACCGTGAATCCAAAATATTGAGAGAAAATGAGGCAATATGGACTATGAAAAGAAAAACTGTAGTTCAACATAAAACCTCCATTAAACACAAGAAAGATTATCATGCATCAGAGGCTATATTTCAACAGAAATAGTTTATATAGATAGGAAACACTTGGGGGAAAAAAACCAAGACATGCTGCTATAAGAAAGGAGAATAGACAGTTTTTTCTAAAAATCAACAACAAGATATAATAGCTTTGTAAGAAAATCAATATCCACTGTCACAGCCAGTATACTTGAATCACACATACATACAGTTGGTTAACATGGTTTTCCAACATACATATTAAAAAGTTTTTCTTCCTAACTCCTTTTTCACTGACAATTCTCACCTAGTTTTATCTTCAGATTCATTCAAGTGATGGAATTACCCTAAAACCAATCACTGATTCAGCCTTCCAAAATAATTGCAACAAAAAATTGGAGGGGGTGAAAGAAATTTAAAAGGCCAAATATGAGTGAAGTTCACAGAATATCTATCAAGCAATAAAAGTACTGGATTGAATACTATGGAAGCTAAAAAGAAACTTAAAACTTTGCACCACCACTCTTTGGTTAAATATGTAGCCTGGGGCTACACTGCCATGTATGTTCTGAGTATTTATTTATTATGGCAACCCACAAAAAGTAATCAATCACAATCCTTTAGAGTAGGGCAAGATCTTAATGGTCCTCTCGGGGCTTCTCAACCTCAGCACTATAGATATTTTGGGCCAGATAATTATTTGTGGTGGGGGCTGTCTTGTACACTGAAAGATGCTTGGCAGCATCCCTGGCCCCTACCCACTAGATGCCAGTAGCACTCCTCCCCCAGCTGTGATAACTAAAAACGTCTCCAAATACCATCAAATGTCTCACAAGGGGGGCAAAATTGTCCTCTGTTAAGAACCACCCAGAAAAAAAAAAATCAGGTTCCGAGAAATTAAGCTAGAGAGAGTTAAGCTAAATAACCAAAATACAAGACTATGGAAGCATTTTTTTAAACGCCATTTTTAACAGTGATGAAAAATCTACTGTATTTCAAGAGCTAGAGCGAATAATTTATATTGCTTCTACATGCAATAATATCATGCATCCTTGTCCCCTATGACTATTAATGAGGCATCCATATGATGCATATCTGAGTTGTACTTTTTATAATTATGTCAAGACATACAGCAAGTCAGATTTTTATCTGCTGACACTCAGAATAATGTAAATAGTAAAACGGACACCATGAATGACATGATTAACATTAATTTAATGTAGAAGTAGGCACTATATTAAGGCCCCAATATAAGGTATAAAGCCCAGTCCCTTGCTCAATAAATAGCTGAACAAATTAAATAATATAAATTATGACTTTGTATTTAACATTTGTAAAATTACCTAAATAAAAAATCTTTATGTCTCTTGCTGCCTTTAGCCTAGAAGCTCCCAGAGTTCAAGGATCACTTCTGCTTTGATACTTAGGAAGCCTCGCACAGGACAAACCTCAAGTAATAAGATTCTTTATTTGATGTTTCCTATTTGGAGCAGATTTCAATTTCCAAAAGTGGCTGCAATAATCTCTCACCCTACATGCTCACCTACAATATCATCTTGACTATCTTCCCATCAAGAGCTGAAGGTCATTTATAAACAATAGAATGAGGTGGAAATGACACTGTGTGACTTCCAAGGGTAGGTAAGAAAAGGTGATGGAGCTCTCTGCCTTGCTCAGCGGAATACTCACCCTTGAAGCCTTCAGTCGCCATGTATGCTGTCCAACACCCCTGAGGCTGCCATGCTGAGAAGAAGCCCAAACTAGGCCATGTGGAGGGACCACATGGAGAGGCTCTGAGACTACATGAAGAGCAAAAGATGCGCAGCCACCCCAGCTGCTCTGCACCCTTCCTTTCCTTTAACACTCCTTCCACAGTGCACCTGCTCCAGTCCCTATCTGACTGCAACCACTTGAAAGACCCAGAATCAGAACCACCCAGCCAAAGTCTTCTAGAATCCCTGATGCACAGAAGTCATGAGAGATAAAGAAAATGATTGTTGTTTTAAGATACTAAGTTTGAGGTGATTCGCCACACAGCACAGATAAGGGGAACAGATCTTAGTATTAGGAGTGAGGGGCTGCTATAATAAAAACCTAAGACATGTAGTATTAGCTTTAGGATCAGGTGGTAGACAGAATCTGGAAGGCCCTTGAGGGGACCACTGGTCAAACCTGGAAGGACCAAGAAAAGAATGCTAGTGGAAGCCTTAAAGGACTTTAAGGAATCTATTGGTGAGGACTTAAAGGAAAGTGAGGAAAATATTGTTGAAAATTGGAAGAACAAGTGTCATCTGTGTTAACATGGAAAACAGAAACTATGCCTAATAAACTCAATGACCTAGCCAAGAAGATTTCCTCAAAGAGGACAAAGATGATCTTAAAAAGTGAACTATCTGAGTAGAATTTGGAGAAAATGTAAAATGCCAGCCAGGAATTCTTTATGAAATGACTTCTGAGCGTAGATCAAATCCAGAATGCGGATGTAAGATTCTTTGTTAAGACCTCAGAAAGACTGAAGGTAGTACCTCACAGATTCTTTCCAACAAAGGCTCCAGATCTTAAAGAAATGTCTCATAGAGGGGCTGACCCCATGGTGTAGCGGTTAAGTGCGTGTGCTCCGCTGCTGGCAGCCTGGGTTTGGATCCCAGGCACGCACCAAGGCACTGTTTGTCAAGCCATGCTGTGGCGGCGTCCCATATAAAGTGGAGGAAGATGGGCACAGATGTTAGCCCAGGGCCAGTCTTCCTTAGCAAAAAAACAGGAGGATTACCATGGATGTTAGCTCAGGGCTGATCTTCCTTACAAAAAAGAAAAAAAATGCACTTCGGTGGCATCCCACATACAGCAACTAGAAGGATGTGCAACTATGACATACAACTGTCTACCGGGGCCTTAGGGAGAAAAAGGGAAAAAAAGGAGAAGGACTGGCAATAGATGTTAGCTCAGGGCCAGTCTTCCTCAGCAAAAAAAAAAGAAAAGAAAAAAGAAATGTCTCATAGAAACCTATTGTTTAAGAAGCAAGGATCTAAGATCTAAGGATACTGTCCCATAGCAACCTCATAAGGAACCCAAGATAGAGAAGGGCATGTCTCAAAGAGATCTGTGGGTATGGCTTTGGTCTAATGAAGTGGATTGTTTTAAAAAGATAAACAGGAAACCCACACAGTTTTAAAAGGAATCCTATCAGTTTATACTTAAAGGGACAGAGACAGTATAAAATGAAGAGGCTTCTGGATCAAGGGTCAGCAAATCTGAGCCTAGGGGCCAAATCTACCTGTTTTTGTAAATAAAGGTTAATTGGAACACAATCATGCTTATTCATTTACATATTGTCTATCGCTGCAGAACTGAGCAGTTGCAAGGTGAAAGCTATATTTAACAGCAGAGTTGAGTAGGTGCAACAGAAACCATAGGGCCTGCAAAGCCTAAGATATTATTAGATGGCCCTTTACAGAAAAAGTTTACTAATCCCTGCCTTGGGGACTCCCAACCTTTTATGGGCAGGAAGTGGGATAAGAAGGCTATTCAGTTGCAAACACAGGCCGTTTTTTTTTCTGGAAAAAGAAAATGACTCAGAGAGCAGAGCTAAGAGCCATGGAGAATTCCCAGAGAGTAGGACTGAGCCCTAATTAAGAAACCATCAACACATACCCAGCTGGAATATAGAGCTGTTATGGACCAGTGATTGCTGTGTGCCTCCAATTTTCTCTCTTTTTGAACAAGATTCTCTAAAGTCATTTTAGACAATTTTGTCTCACCATTACGTATTAGGCGTATGGCAAGCTGGTAACTTGTTGCTTTAGTTTACAGGTTTTCAGACCAACACTTGAGGAACTACACTTGTAAAACCACTCTTAAAGAGCCTCATCCACAATTGCACGAGATTTAGCTGACCAAACACTGGCTTCAAGCTGATGCCAGAGGGGTCTTAGGAGGAAGAAGCAAGTGTATTTTCCATGTGGGAAGAATACGAATTGTTGTGGCCAGAAGGCTGACTGTAGCAGACTGCACTTTCCCCAAATGGCTACAATACCTTTCATCTCACTTGCTCATTTATAACATGATTTTGACCATTCTCTACATCCCCTTTCCTTAAATCTCGGAGGACTTATGACTCGCTTGTGACTAAAAGAATGAGGTAGAAATAAGTATTGCATGATTTCCACAGGTAGGTCAGAAAATGCATGTAGCAGCTTCCACCCTGCCTGCTGAAATACTTCTTGAAGCCTTCCATCATCATGTGAGCAATCAATTCTCCTAAGGCTACCACTAGTCCTCGTAAAGAGACTATATGAAGAGATCCTAACACTGTATGAAGAGACAGTGATACTAGCTGTTCCACTGCATGCCCCACCCCCCTCAGCTCCATCTGACCACAACCAAATAAAAGATCCCCAAGCCAAAACTGCCCAGCTGATTCCTTCCCAAATTCCTGATCCTGAGAGAAACAATAAAATGCTGCTGTTTTAAGCCACTAAGTTTGAGAGGACTTGTTATGTAGCAACATCTAATATAAATTATTTAATAAATTTTGGCTATTCACTCATTTTTTAAGTTTAGTAAGCCCCCTTCGCTGTGTTAAGGCACTGTGACATATTTAACCTGTTTTACTTCTTTGACCTAGTTTTGACTTTTCTGCTCTAACTTTATTAATATCAAGAAAGCATGCATTTGCCATCACTCATAAATTTACATTTACTTTTTAGCCACAAAAGAATGCTGCCAATGACAAATACTGCACTTTGCAGATCATTTCAGAAACACCTGAAAATAATTTTGATATATTTTGGATCTTTTTCCATTGAGTATTTCTTTACCCCTTCTGAAGTTGGTCAATTCAACACTTCTCATATATTTCAATATTTAACATATAGAGTTTGAAACATAATGGACAACTGAATCCACAGAATATCCCTACAAGTAACTCAGATCCTGATACACTATAACTGGCAGATACCTCACTTTTATTTTTTGAGCAGTTGATGGAAGTTCTGGAATCAGCATCTTCTTTATACATAAATACTCAAATCCTGAACTCTCCAATCAAAGGCTCCACTGTAATGCCAATGTAGTTAAAAAAAAAATATTTTTATAGTACATTTCACTATAATTGTGGTAAAGACAGTAGGAGGATTTTACTTAAGTATGTGGGGTTTCAATAAAAAAGAAAAGAAAGAAGAAAGAAAGGCTATTATAACAACTATAAGAAAATACAAAGTTTTGCATTTGTTATTAACCTTTTTATAAAACTATAACATTTTCAACCTGGAAAATTAGTCAAAAATTGTAATTACCATATTATAAGCTGAATGGGCAGCTATTTCAAGCAATTAATTTTCTAGAAGCATCTTATGTTTTTTCATATACAACTGGACAACCTACTTAAAGCAAAAAAACATTTTTTACCCTTAATCCCCTATAAAACTACCCCTAAATTTTTAAGGGGGAGAGGAGAAGGGCTCAATTTCAGCTTATAATAACAATGACAATCTTGATGCTGGACATTTCCTATATTATGGGATTTGGGAGGATCAATGGCCCTGTAAGATTCACACACTAGCCTCCCCAAATATGCTAATTTCTAAGAAATGTCCTAGCATCTTGATTGTGATTGTGATTAATCAGGTTAGTAAAATGCTAAAGGTAAAGCTCATGCTAGTGACTGTTCCGTCTTTCCAGCAAGCTTCCACCACCTTACCAATACATAGTGTATTTACTGCTATTCCTCTTACCACGGTTTCTGACCTGTCAACCTGAGTGCAAGATCGAGCAATAATGCAGGTACTGTATGTGTGACACCCTTCCAATAATGAAGCAATAAGTTGTTGGAATACAACTTAAGATTGGGGCGCCTGAGTACTTGGTTTAAAGGATTCATCTTGAAGGAATGATTTAGATAATATCCTGTAGGAAAAATAAGCGTCAAAGCATTTTGAATGTTATTTGTTATTCAGAAAAAATACCTAAAGTTAGACCTAGAATTCAGCACATGACAATAATTTATCCACCAAACTTTAGAATAAATTAGAGTGAATTATAACACTACCTTTGTTTTTCTGACAGTCTTAAATTCAAGAGTCTTCTCATTCACAAAAGGCCATTAAGCCTTATCACAAGCATAAACAAATACAGAGTTAATATGCATTTTAGCGTAAGCATGGGTTGTTCAACAGTCAGAGGAACAGATAAGACAGAGCTAGTCACCATTACCTTGGGCTTCTTCCAGTCATCCTGAGGTAGATATCATACAGGAATGCTGGGGCCTTATGGCTTACAGCAATCCAGTAATGATATAAAAGGTGATTGGAGGTTAGATTTACATTGGGCCGTCTGAAGGCCTGTTCGAGAGGATTCCTCTTGAAAGTGGAAATTACATGGTATTCTGAGGAAGAAAAGTTGTGTAACAGCTTTGATAATAACCATGTAATGAAGTTTTGAAAAAAAAAAATCATGTTTTCACAAAGCAAAATACTTTACCAAAGATGTCCAAGTTCGCTCATTTAAAAAACAAACTTTTCTACTCTCTATAGTAGCTAAGAGAATATGGGTATTAGAACTCAAGTGGTTTTACAACTGCCACTATTTACAAATTTTAATTAGATGAATGAATTTTTGCTAAAAATCCTTTTAATGTTTTACCTATGTCAGTTTACAATGTCACTTTCTATATTTCACCTCTCTCGATAGCTTCTTTCTTTCTGTTCCTCTTTCCAGATTCTTATTACTGTACTTACTTAAAAAAGAAAAGGAAAATCATCATCCTTTGCTTATGAATAATTAAGTTGCTCAAATGAACATATATTAACAAATTAAAACAACCCAAAATTAACTGCTGCTGTAATTGATTTAGGTTATAAAATGTCAACACAATCAAATCTATTATCTTTTATGTTAATATTCTAATGGAAACATATATTGAGATATTCACTAAAAAATAATGCTTGACTTGATTTTTACTAAACTTTACAACATAATGAAAGATTACAAAAAACCTAACTTATTTAAAGTGTTTTAAAATTCCTAAAAGAATACTATTTAAATAATTAACATAAAATTAAAATACTAGTTTTTTTTCTTATATGCTCTAAGAATCAATCTTTAAACTGAAATAAAAAATGCCACTTTTTCTAAGACAAATAACAAAAGATTTACTTTAAAATCAAAATTGCTCACAAGGGTAACAAAAATTGTTCAATCAGAATTAAAATAAGACCTATTACTAAATCAATGTCATAAATATATTTTACTTTAAATTTGAAAACATAAATCCACAACTTAAAAATGATTCAATTTCAGTAGGCTTTAAGTTATATTATTCCTATTCTAGAACAAGTAACATAGCATACACACTACCTGCTATGAATTTGTGAATTTAAAAAGATTAATAAATGTAACACAAAATATTCTGGCAACATGTATCCTACTTGCTAACTCCTTCATTTATTACTCTTGGGACCACTAGCTATCTCCTGCGATAAACCAACTCTTGAAGTTTGAAGAGATATTGCCTCCGGATAGGCAATAGCAGGACTGAGTGCCATGAGGGAGAAAAAAAAGCACTGTTTCCAGGCCATGGTATCTACGAGGGTTGCTGCAGATGGCAGCAGAAAAACAGTAAGGGTCAGACAAGGGTGGGACGGGAAGGAAATACACAGCAGGTATTTTTAAATTTGTGAAACATTATTAAGGACCACAAGGCAGTACTGGCAGATATTAAGATGGCAATTAAAATAAGACTAAATTGGCAACTCAGTGGCCTTAATGCCTCATGGGTTACTCTAACAAAAAAACTCAGTGAATGTTTTAAGTTTTTTAAGATATATTCTAAGATTCAAAAACACAGGTAAAATCATACCAACTTCACCCCAGTGGAAAGGATTAGTGCTGCCTGTTGTGCAATTATACACCATGATGTTCCTTGGTCTGCAAAAACAAAGATCAAAGCAATGAAACATAAAAAGAGGCCCAACTTATCCAAACTACATCTTATATGACATTCAAGTAGAAAGAAATGAGGATGATGGGTACCTTTTCTACACTGATTATTTTAAAAATTATCCTTAAAAGATGAATTTTTGTGTCTGAATGACTATTTACAACCACCCGTTTTCCCTCCCCTACCAGAAAAATTACTTATTAAAAAATACAGATTTTTTTTTTCTTTTCCTATTTTTCCTCCTTGTATTAGCAGGACTGTCTATTTTTAAATGTAAGGAGAACAACAACAATCTCAGTTCTTCTAATCTCCTTCCCATTTTCAGAGGCTCTGATTGAAAAAAATTATGGACCGAGTTCTCTTTTACCAGAAACAATATATTCATATAATCATATCCCTCCCTTTTTTAGGATATAATAAATACTGACTTCAAAATAAGGGCGGTTTATAAATTAGGAAAGAAAAATTGAGAAGCTTAAAGTTTAGGTGTTCCCTGTAAATGCTACTACTCCCTTTTAAAAGGAGGCCTATAAGTTGATTAAAGCTGTTCTAGTGTGCCATGTTTGATATATGTAAGTCATTCTCTGAGAATTTCAGCTCTTTACGTATGCCAAGTTTATATCATGTTTTAGTTTGGATTAAAAAAAAAAATCCAGGGGGAGGGCAGGTGTTATTTTTTTCATTTTTAACCCTTAATGAACTTGCCCATCCTATAAGTATAGATATAGTACATGAGAATTAACATTAATACTTAATTATTGCTGATGAAACCACGTGCTACAGCATATGTGATAAAAAAACCTCTTGCAGTTGGAAGTGATAATGCCCATATACATTGGTGTGGGAAAATCAGGGCTGAGGGATTAATGAACATCAGTCAGTAGCTCTGTTTCTTCTTCTCAGTTACTACATATTTAACAAGCGACATTGTCACCTCATATACCTATTAACTCCGGAATACCAGGCTGCCGCAAGACTTGTGTTGACAACTACATCTACAGGAACAAGATCTGCAAGGGCATTGTTGGAGGCACGCATTGTTCGAAGAATTCCTTTCCCTGCCTTTGTTGAAATTAAAAACAACACCTTAAGATATATAAGCCAGAGTACATACATACATATAAAGATATTCAAAAAACAGAAAAAATATACAGAATATTAAATAAATCAAAAAGTTTACTTACCGCAATAAAGAGACCACTTGGTCCATTAAAGTTATCAATCCATCCCTAATACCAAAAATTTAAAAAAAGGGAGCTTAGAAATATTATGAAACTAGAGATTTATCATTTGAAATCTACAACTCCACATATATACATGGTAGTTTTCTTCTAAAAACTAAAAAATAGACTAGATTCAGGCCAGAATATTTCTGCTCGTCCCAAGTGGAAACAGTCTTCCAGGAACTGGGATCGCACATGGCTAAGTAAAATCATTTTCAAGATGTTACCTACTCTTCCACTAACTCTCTGCAAGGAGAATTTTATAAAAAGGAGTTTATACCTGTCACATATTTTTGCTAAATTAAGCCTGTTCAAGTTTGATCTTGTGCTATTTACTGACGCAATATCCTGAGATTAGGGGGAAATGATAAATCCTCCTCAAAATTACTGAATAAAATAGAGGAAAATAGAATACTTGTCAAAGCAACTAAAGAGATGCTATCACTTACTACCATTATAGAGACCTAAGTTTTTCCTAAATCAATTTATCTGTCAGTTTATATCGATGTTTTGTCTTATTCCAGAGATTCACAAATACCATAATGCCCAGGTTTTCTACAGCAAATTATAGAAATCTCAGATATCTTTCTTAGCTGTGATCTCTACAGGGTGGATTCTATCTCTTGGAAGGCCTGCCTCTTTTTGGTACTAAAAAGCAAATGAAATAAGATCCTGAATATTCTCATCTCTATTCCCTTCACCTCTGCAAGGGAAGCTAATCAGCAAACAATTTTAAAAACCAAAAATGTTGATGTGTCAGAGTCTGGTCTCTTGTCAACCAAAAAGAAAACTCATAAGGCATGGTCTCCTTTGACTTGAGACAACATCAGAGCCTTTGCTTTAATTTTCAATTAAGATTTTTTAAATGTTGATTTGCATTTCTTCTATACATGCAGCATTACACTAGAAATAAAAGTGTCCTTTCTATGAATGAAAAACAGCTTGCCATAGTACCACATTTCTTAAACAACTGCCAACTCTTTTTATACAGAGTTATGACTTAAAATTTTCAATTTCAATTATTTAAAAAGATTTCTAACAACTTACTGGAAAAGGTTCTTTCCAACTGGCACCAACAATTGATGGTCTTACAATCGCCACATTCAGCTTTGCCCCTTCTTGTTGTACAACATATTCTGCCAATGCTTTTGTGTAAATGTATGTATTAGGTCTGTCTCCTATCAATTTTGGTGTGATATCATTTACTAGGCCATCATCCATCCACCTGGTAAATAAAGAAATTGCATGGAAAAAGATTTTCAGATGTTTTACTATAAAATGAAAAACCACTTAACTTTGCACATTCAAACATATCTGTTCCTCTGACTCAAATGATCTGACAACTTTTACTAAAAATATGGAAGTTAGTCTTACTTTCATTAAATATCAACTACAAGTCCACATCTCTTTTATCCAATTTCTATATCCAAAAAAGTCTGAAAACCTAGAGTTCTTTCATAAATCATATGGGAGGTAGCAAAAGCTAATCTAAACTGATTTATGGCCTTTTTTTAAATACTGCTTAGTGTAAATATTCATATACTTCACATGTTTGATCAGCGGCACTACCTCAGATCTAGGTGAAGTTATTTCTATTACACAGAACATAGATTATATTCCCTTCTAAAGTCCAAATAAATGCTAAAATATATCTTGCCCCAAGGGTTTCAGATTAGGAATTACAGATCTATATAGGACCACCTAACAGCATAACATGTTAATTATATACATTTGCAATGAACATCCATTTACAATTAATATAAAAGGTCTAGTAATCTAAATATTTACGATGAAGCAATGAAAATTATATGCTCTCACTAGGGAGATTAACAAATACTAGGATAAACAATAAAAATAAATTGAACCATGCTATAAAAATTCAATTAGCAACCTACTATGAAGTCACAAAATTCCTCTAATTTTCTCAGTGTCTCTGAAGAAAGGGTCTACTCTGATAATCTGTAAACAGAGGGTGATACACTAGGTGATATCTATGGTCTTTCTCAGTCTAAATTTCTGATTCCAGTATGTCATGTACTTGTTTTCAGATACTTTTCCTTATTGTCTATAATGGTATGCATACTTGCATACTCACTATACTGTCACACTTTAATGATACCCATACTAACTGATGAGGAAGCATAAAATGAAGATTACCAAGATAAATTTTCTTATGTATGTGGAAGCTTTTGTGTATGGAAGGAAAAGAATATTAACGAAATTGAAGGGAGGCTGCTACTCAACTAAGGAAAAATTCCACAGTGGAGAAGAGTTTTGAAAAGTGGAAGAGATAGTTACTACATTAAAAAAAAAAACCGGCTAAACCGAGGACAGACTTTAGCCAGTAAGCCTTATCACTGGAGTGAGTTTACAGAGCCAATCTATGAGTGATCCTAAAATTATCTGTTAGCTAAATTTCTTTGTAAGCAAAGAAAGGAGATAAAGAATTAGAAAGTTACAGCCTCTTTCTCAGCAACTTAGGTGTTGAGATATACCAACTGCTAATAAGAGAAAAAGTAAAAAGCTTCATTAACTTCCATACTCAACTTTTCCCAGAGATGTTAAACACTTCTGCCTACTGACCTGTGAGGAAAATGAGGTAGATATTTGGGACCAGCTAAGAAATGGAGTCAGAAAACAGAAACCAGGGAATTACCATGTTTTGATAAGCTCCCATATTTACTAATTTTCTTACAGTCTATCTGCTTCCTCATAGTGATTAGCAAAAAAGCCTTAAAAAAAAGGACTTATGTGCTTATTTTAGGAGAAAACTTGGAGAAGGGGCTATGAACAGCTACAAACACTCTGTAGCACCCTTGGGAAGAAAAGAATTCAACTGAGAAAGCATGGGATGGTAACGAAGGAGCTGCAAGTGGATAGGATCTCTGGGAAGAAAGGAGACCTGAGGGGAAATGGAAAATAAAGGAGGAAAAACCTCACAGGGACATTATATGAAGGTTAACACACATGTGACGATATGATAAATACTGGAAGGGTTCTATAATTATAGTCTATAAAAGAAAAAAAAAGACCCCTCTTTTTGTTTTTGCTCTGATTCTGTTTGTTTCACTTAACGGAAAGGACAGGCTGAGGCAAATGAAATCTTGGCCATGGGATAAGCATACTTCACTTACTCCCTATCCATTAAATACTCACAAACATTTCTCATGCAATAATTGCTAATAGGATCCTAGTCCTCAGAAAGATGATAAGCAGTAACACTAGGAGTATCAGTTAAAGGACCATGACTCCTCAGATTCTCTATAATTAAAGGCCCCTCCATAGATATACTCCATTGGGCAAAATAAAAAGGACAATATTTAATAAATTAGAACTTTGCTAATGAAGGCAGTCATTAGTCTCCATAGGTATCAGGTGCTACTTGGTCGCTAGGATTGATTTCCTGGAAAACAGACGTCCTAATATCACGCATAAATTGTTCAGAGGCCTTCCTCCAACCATCACACCTGGACAGAAGTGAAAGTTCCACACTGACCTCACCAACGGTCACTTAGATATAAATCTATACAATAAAAACAACATAATACAGTAACCTAATGGTTTGTTAAAAAAGGAAGAGATAAATGTACATATATGTGTGGGTGGAAAGAGGTGGACAGAGAGAGAGAAACTGAAATAGACCAAGAGATATATATATAAATAGATAAACCTGGATCCAAAGTTTTGGGATCAAAGCAAATGTATATAAATTTCCAACAAACATACTCTAAAGAATCAATAAGCTTCTTGGGATCCACAGGCGGTGGATAGACTACTTCATCAATATGCTTTCGATTGCAGTAGGCATATGCTGTTGATACATGCATGAACACTTCCAGATTCTTCATTTGTTGTGCAAGGAGAATAAGCTGTCGTGTAGCAATCACATTTAACTGAACAGCATCTCTGTAAGAGAAAAAGCGACAATGAGAAATTTAGAAGCTATGTCATTCATTTCACCTGCTAAAAAAAAATCTTATTTCCATTAGAGAGACAGACAGACAGACAGAGAGAGATTTTTGTTTCTTTACAACTGATCCTTTAGCTGTGATTTGGTGTATTTTATTTCAATATGAAGTACACCCATTCTACCAGTTGTGTTTAAAAAGAAAGATTTTCTGATTAGAAAATAAACTTATTAGAATTTAAAAAATAAAAGTATAAATTAAAAATTTTATATTATCCAGAAATAAACACAAATAATTTCAGTCTTTGGCTTTTATGTATACATTTTGAAGTCATGTTAGCCTTCTCTTGCATCTTGATTTTTAAAAGTATACAGTTTCATGATATGGATGTACCCCAAGAAGAAATTAAGATGGTTATCTGAATATTTTACCTAAGCTTACCAGGGGCAATGACCTTGATGGGAATCTGGCTTCCCCAGGTCTTCTGGAAAAACAGTCATAACAATCTTTCCTTCCTGTCCTCCCTTTCTGTGAATACAGAAACGCAACTACTTATAGAAATAAAGTAATTATTATAAAAAAGAACTTATTAACAATATGATTTGAAAATGAACTGAACTGAATATTTTGTCTTCATATGAATTGGGTTGCTTTTTTTCATAAACATGTTTAATTAGAAACATGCAGTGAGGGCCGGCCCTGTGGCTTGGCGGTTGAGTGCTCGCGCTCCACTACTGGCGGCCCGGGGTTCGGATCCCGGGTGCGCACCGATGCACCGCTTCTCCGGCCATGCTGAGGCCGCGTCCCACATACAGCAACTAGAAGGATGTGCAACTATGACATACAACTATCTACTGGGGCTTTGGGGAAAAAAAAAAAAGGAGGAGGATTGGCAATAGATGTTAGCTCAGAGCCGGTCTTCCTCAGCAAAAAGAGGAGGATTAGCATGGATGTTAGCTCAGGGCTGATCTTCCTCAGAAAAAAAAAAAAAAAAAGAAACATGCAGTGAAAGCAAGATCATGCTAATAAACTTGGTTGTCGTGCCCTCAAAAACATAAAAAAGAAACTAGAAGGGATAAACAATTTTAAAGTGCTAAGGCAGAGTCACCATTAACAGTAAAACAGTCAAAACTCAGAAGCATTAAATTATATTAACATATAATCAAGTAAGAATGTTTTTTCCCTCTTTGTAGCAATTAATTCAAACACCTTTATAAGATTACCTTACAAAATTCAAAGGGGTATTCTAATAAAATTGGTACATTTGTTACAAGAGGCACATGCAAGACCCCAAGATGATTTATATATTCCCATCTTGAAATTTATTTGAAGTAATTTCACAAATGCAAAAGTATATATGCAGAAAAACAATCAGTGAAGCATCATTTAGTAACAGCAAAAGTCGAGAGAGCCCAAACATGCACTATGAATAAGATGGTTTAATAAAGGAGGCATTTTATCACAATGTAAGAATACAGCCATTAAAATAATTATATGACAGCAATAAAAACATGGAAAATCTATATGAATATTTAAAAAATACATACATTATGAAGTGAAGCAAGATTAAGAACAAGATAGAATAAGACCTGGGTTCAAATCCTGACTTGGCCTATCAGCTAGGATTAGGTGACCTTGTAGTCACTCAAGCACTCAGGCCTCAGTTTCCTCTCCTGTAAATGGGAACAATAATGGAGTCTACCTACTAGGATTTGTATAAAATTAAATGAAATAAATAGTTTGCAAGTATTTAGCATTATTTCTACCATAGTCTCAAAACAGGCATTCAATAAATATTATTTAAGATAATGAGATGATGGGTAGTTTTTTGCTTTCTATTCAACTTTTGTTTATAGCTCGTTATTTGAGGGGAAAAAAAACTGAAATACTCAAACCAGTAATACTATGGTAAAACTGGCAAAGTAATACACTGTTGGTGACACTATAAACTGCTACAACTGATCCAAAAGAGAGTAGGACTAAGTACCAGGAATTATAGAAATGATAGTTATTAATCTAGTTAATCTAGTGAAATTATAACTCAGAGGAAAAACTAATTTTTCAAACAAAAAGAAATCAAAATTCCCTAAATTTGCTATACTAAGTGAACATTACATAAATTGTGGTATATCAACATGATGAAATATCACATCATGAAAATTATAACTATGAAAATAATGAAAAACATAGATGTTTCTATAAATAAAATTAGAAATTCTATGTTTACATTTTACTTAAAATAATATATGTTCAAAGATGGAGCACAAGGAAATGTTTTTAAAAAATAAAAATAGTTTTGAGTACTTTCCAAAATTCTAACATTTTCAGTATTTAAAAAGAAAAAAATCCAACTATTTTTTTTTTTTTTTTTTTTTGTGAGGAAGATGGGCCCTGAGCTAACATCTGCCAATCCTCCTCTTTTTTTGCTGAGGAAGACTGGCCCTGGGCTAACATCCCTGCCCATGCTCCTCTACTTTATATGGGACGCCGCCACTGCATGGCCCAACAAGTGGTGCGTGGTGCACGCCCGGGATCCAAACCAGTGAACCCCGGGCCGCCGCAGCGGAGCGCGTGCGCCTAACCGCTTGTGCCACCGGGGCGGCCCCCCAACTATTCTTTTAAAAGGCCAGGATATGTCACAGATAGAATCTGGGCCACTGGACTGTAAAGCAGTCCTTTGAAGTCTATCACACTTATAAAACAATGGGGATGGGAGTGGGATACTGTTTTGGAAGAGGTATACACAGAATATTCTATTACAGGTTCCTGAGGACGGAACACTTGGTTCTGGGTCACCAGGAACAAGAATAATTCATGAGAGGAAAAACCCTTGTGCCTTATTTTTTTCTTCTAATTTAATAGTATCTGAGAGCCTATGAAAACACAGTAGAAGGAACTTTTTTTAATGAAATAATTGGGTGGGAGGGGGTGGTCTTACAATCATGAATGTATCTTTTTTCTTCCTTATCTCAAGTGAAAGGGAAAAAATCTGTTCAAATGGAAATCCAGCAAAAAAGACATTTCACAGAGAGGATACTGTCCACTAGACTGTAAGGCAATGTGCTATTTTCTTTTGCACTTGCAAAACAATGGGGATAGGGAGAGTAATGTTTTGGGAGCAGTACACAAAGGATATTCTGTTACAGGCTCCTGAGGATGGTGACAGAGTTTCTGGGTCACCGAAAATAAGAAATAACTTGAGAGAGGAAATACTCCTGTGTCTTTCCTATCCCTCCACCATCACCCGCCCATCTGTACCCAAGAGCCCAAACCTGAAGGCATTTTGTATGCACGTAAGTAACTTAGTATCTCTGCCAGGCTAGTAACCTCACTCTGTTTTACCACCATCCAATCTCTACTCCATTAAACTTCAGGCTGAGACCCTGACAAGTTAGATCAGAAAGCATTTAGTACTAAACAAAAATAATGTTCTCAATACATTTTGGTTATAGAGAGTCATAAATGCATCTTAGATAACATTGGCTTTTGGGAGGAAGGGCAAAATGAACAAATTTTTAAAATCATGGTCCATCATTAATGTAGACACAGAAACCACTTAAAAAAAAAGGCAAACAACTTGAACTGCCAATAAATTTTCTCGTTCACTTGTCTTCTGCAGACACCCTGGAGCGTTCACAGTCTATGTTGATAATACTTCTAAAACCTTAAACCAGAGATCTCTCGCTTGGCATGACAGACAGCTGGGAGCTTATTAAAGATGTAGATTGCTGGACCTTATCCTCAGACACTTTCTAATGTCTGAATTGAGGCCTGGAAAACTACATTTTAAATAAATTCCCCAAGCCACTCTGATCACTCTTTCCCTCCTTCCCCACTGCTGAGAAAATACTACCTAGATGAGATCTCATCACTATTACTGAATTTTTCTTAACTTAATGAAGATACAGACACAGATGTCTAGGGACCAATTAACCAATCTTAGAATAAAGGACTCAAACATCTGCAATTTAAATCACCCCCAAGGCTCTTGCTAAAAATGAGGATTCCTGGGTATTATCCCTTCCACTCCTTTCTGAACACCTACTCTCATATGCATACCCTGGGCCGTAATACTCAAAACTGCTCCATCTCTGAAATATCACACTAAGAATTTTCCCCAGACCACACCATCTGTCCATCCTTCCACTCTTCCCCTTAAGCCTGTTTTCTGTCCTCATCATGGTCTCTAGTTTCTTGACACTTCTTTACTCTCACTCTATTAGCCCTGTCCTACCTTTACTTTCTTTACTACCTAGGGTAGACCAGATGCCAGGATCAACTCTTTAACTCCCTTTACTATCCTCAAAATCATTCTCCCCTTATCTTTCGTCAGTATGGCTTTACAACTCCTAATCTCGATATCCATTTTTTTCCCACCTGAAGGTTTATAAATCACCACATTTGAAAATAAATGAGCTCTATCACCTCTCAATTCGCACAGCACTTAATGTGTGCTCTTCAGTAACTCCTTATTTTCCATCCTACATTACGGTTATTTAAGCATATTCTATCTCCTCTATTAGACTATATGGACTTTGCAAATAGGATCTGTGTGCAATTTATCTTGGTTTCTCCTCAAATATTGGGTATAATGTTGGGAGTAAAATACGGATTTTTTTGCCCTGGCAGTAAAGGCTTTGTGTCATTTTTTATTTGTGGGTTAACTTAAAAAGTGATTATAAAGAGTAATTGTTTTGTAAGTAGTTATTATACTGTAGCCAAGCTACAGTATTTTAGAACATCTGGACCAAATCTAATGTTACAATATCACCACTTAGACATCAATATCTTTTAAAATTGCTTCATATAAAACAATAATTTTAATGTAATGACTAGGATTACATCATTAAACATACATGCCTTGACAAGGAAGAAAAGAACAATAAATTTTCTTGTTCACGTGTCTACCCCTTCCACTATGGTATCTCTAATAAAAGAAGAAAGGATAATAATGAAGAGATTTCCCTGTCATTAATGGTAGCCTTGCTTACCCTAAGGGGAACAGAAAGTTCCCTGAAAGTACTGTACTTTGGTCCTCCTCATAAAGGTAACTTTGATGAGTTTCACCCTAATTAATGTTGCTTATTCACAAATCAATTTTCCCTTTAAAAGCATCTAATTTCCCCTTTAAGCCAATGAGGACTATACCAAAATTATCCAGTATCTATATACTTTTTTCCTTGAAAACAGCTTCATAAGGCTGTGTGAACTCTCTTTTGGTTATGAAAAAAATAATGAAAGCTAGAACTATGGAGGAAAAAATCTGTTAGACTATTTCATACTAAAAACCTACCTGTAATCACACTATCCAAAGATAATGATTGGCAAATAATGAAAGACATGTATATAAATGCACATATATGCATACACATATTTTATGAAAATGAGATTATACCATAGTTCCAGTAAGATTCTTTTGTTACTTTTGAATCATGAACACATAATGGCTACATAGAAAGAACTAAAGAGTAAATAAATTATTACCACCAGATAATAAACGATAAAGTCAAGATAAGAACCAAGGTATATAATTCCAAAGCTCATGCCCTTTCCATTACACAGTACTGCCTCAGCTTCCCCAAGTATAAAATGGATTTGCCCATAATATTACAGTGGGTAAGGTTACCATGGAATAAAAAATAATGAATGAGAAAATGCCCTGAAAACTATAAAGCACTATTACAGAAAGGTAAGGGACTATTATAGTGCCCTCACCTGGGATATAGGCAAAACACATTGTGAGGCACTGGCACTTAACTGTCACATGGTACCATGTCGATTAAGCTTTATACTTCATATTAAAGATAATATCTTTTTTTTTTTAATTTTATTTATTTCTTTTCCCCCAAAGCCCCAGTAGATAGTTGTATGTCATAGCTGCACATCCTTCTAGTTGCTGTATGTGGGACGCGGCCTCAGCATGGCCAGAGAAGCTGTGCGTCGGTGTGCGCCCGGGATCTGAACCCGGGCCGCCAGCAGTGGAGCACGTGCACTTAACCGCTAAGCCACGGGGCCGGCCAAAGATAATATCTTTAAAACTCTTTATAATCAGAATTTAATTTAAAAATATTTTAAGAAAAAGAACTTCAAGTAATTGTGAAACTGAAATTTTAATTGGCATAAAACCATATAATTAGATTAACATTATAAAACTGTAATTTTGGACATATAATCAAAAAGAATACTCTGAATTAAGCAGTTATTTGAAATGCATATTTGTCAGATTTTTTTTTTTAAATAGTGAACATCTAGAAGGTTATTTTTTTCTTGAAACAGGCATCTTTAAGGCAGTCCAAATGATTTTTTAAATTAAACTTATGTCCAATGTACCCTGCTCCTAAAACTTCTACCAAAGTTTTAAAACAAAAGACAAAGTTATGGGGGCCGGCCCCGTGGCTTAGCGGTTAAGTGCGCGCGCTCCGCTGCTGGCGGCCCGGGTTCGGATCCCGGGCGCGCACCGACGCACCGCTTCTCTGGCCATGCTGAGGCCGCGTCCCACATACAGCAACTAGAAGGATGTGCAGCTATGACATACAACTATCTACTGGGGCTTTGGGGGAAAAAAAGAAATAAATAAAAATTACAAAAAACAAAGTTATGACTCAAATTTACAAGCCATTTTACCTTATTCTATAAAACCTGAGCTAATTTTTTAAAATTTTCAGATGGATATGTACGGAGTAGAAAAATAAAGCTGCTGGGGCCCAGGCCTCTGAAAGAGTGCAGGGAAGAGGACGCAAACACCATCAGTTGTTAAGACAACACTCCTCCCAAGGTCAGCTTCTCTTTCTTCTCCACACTTTCCAATTCTCGCCTTACCCCGTCCCATATTTAAATTCACAGCAACTTCTTAAAAAAACATACACTAGCTATCCAATGTTTTTAAACTGATACCAAGAGGAAGGAAATTCTTTTAACATTTTGTAGGACACGGAAAGCTACAATTAACATAGGACAACAGTTTCAAATCACTTTCAAAACAACTTGACTATGAAGTAGAATTCAAATTAGATTTTTTAACTATGCTCAAGTTCAAGTATATAAATAGCTTTACTTACCTTAAATTTTCATTAAACCTTACTGTAGCTGCACAGTGGAATATAATATTGGTAGACTCTATGATGATCTCTTTATCTTCTTCACTAAGCGCCAGTTTAGGCTGGGTGAGTTCACTGTTGATTGCTATGATTTTCTCCCTAAAATCTGGATTTTCATCTCTCAATCTGTCAAAGAGCTATCAAAGGGGAAAAAATATTTTAGGACAGTATTTTTCAACTTTCTAAAACCAATTATCATCCCCTTTTCCCTGCCAAGGATCACTATTTTAAAAACTTCAACTATGCAAATCCTAAGGTTGCTATTCTTAATTGTTATCATTCTGTATAGAAAACACCCTGTGAGGCCCACATTATTATCCCCATTTTACAGACAAGGAATCTAAGACACAGAGACCTTAAGCAGCTTGCCAAGGACACAGAGCTGGTAGTTTGCAGAGTTAAATTTGAATTGTCCATGCTTTGTTGATCAGATTATATTATCCAGCAGAATAGGGTTAAGCAGTACAAACATAAGGACAATGTTTACAATGATCATTCAGATTTCTAAAATCCAGACCTTAATTTATCACTTCATTTTATTTTGGTTTTATTCCCTTTCAGTAGATTAGAATAAAATACCATTATTCATATTCTACCTAAAATCTTAGAACAAAATTTTTTAAAAGAGGAAAAAAAAGTAAACACATTAAAGGAAAAAATAGTTCGTAAGTAAATATGCAGATTAGAATATGAACAAACTTGAGAAATATCACACGTGTATATACAGGATTCTAACTTGAAAATTTAATACTTAAGTATACTCAAAGGAATACATTTAACTAGAGAATCAGATGCCAAGATGATTATAGTGTAAAGCTATATTCAACTGCAACTTAAATTTTTTACCCCAGATTTTGTAGAGAAACATTGATGCTACCTCTAGATCACTGCTCTATTACAATTTGACTCTCCACTTCATTAAAAGTCTATATTTGCAGTTTAAACAAGGATTCTCAATCTTCACCTTCCTAGATGACTTTCAGTATATAACAGTCTTTCCCTCCACCACTGTTAGCTAGTGACTTCAACATTAATATGTTCTTATATTAACTAATAAAATATTTACTAAGCATTTCAGATGAGCCAGGCACCTTCCAGACACTGAGAAAACAAGGAAACAACCTTTGCCTCAAGCTATTTAGAGTCTAAGAGGAAAAACTAGACAAGTAAACCGACAATTAAAACACAGAGTTATAAGTAATAAAATAGGGTTTATATTACAGTGCTTTGGGACTGCATAGCATAAACAACTAACCCAGCTTAGGAAGGACCTGAGATTATGAAGTAGAATAGTGTTCCAGGCAGAGAAAGTAGCACGTGTAACCACCCGAAGTGAGAGAGCATTAATTTGTTTGGGAAATTAAAAATAATTCAGTAAGACTTGGCCAATGACTAGATATGAGGGATAAGGAATGTACACGCCATGAGGACAGGGACCACATCTATTTTGCTCAGTACACAAGCCCTAGACAGCAGAGTGCCTGGCACAATACAGACATGATAAACATTTGTTAAGTAAATAAATTCATTAGTGGAAAACACTGGAAGAGAAAGAAGTACAGTTATGGAGATATGAGTTCAGTTCTGTGAATGCTGAGTATAAAGGGCCTATGTGACACCCCAGAAGACAGGTCTAGTAGAGGTTAACTGGCTCTGTGGGTCTGGAGTTCAGGGGAGAGCCAGACTACTGACAGATTTTACTAACCACACACACGTAGCCCTGGGAGTAGATCACCCAGGTAGCAGCACTGATGAACAGCCAAGGTCCAGATCATATGAAGGTTTTTCCAAATCTAATTTAAAATACAACCATTCATCTCACATAAAACAGAGGGTGCTGAGTAATCACCTAACTAGACCTAGTAAGAAAAGATCAAGGCCTAGGACAGAACTCTGAAGAATATCAATATTTAAGAGGCAAGCAGAGAAAAAGGAACCTGAGTGATGACCAGAAAAGAACTTTTAATACTTTGAATTCACACGTTTTTTGTTTTCTCAGATTGCCAATGACCTATCCCTTCATATCAGACATCTCCACCATTACTACCAAGACATGATCATGCTGCTTCACAAGTTATATCTCAAACTTGATACTCTTCCCTTCTCTAGTGCCATCTCTTTATTCACCACCATCTTTTCCAGTGCTTTTAACCCACTGGTACCCCAATTAGTTCCTACTTTAATAAGTTCACTAATGCCCTCTTTAATATGTTTTATTCTCTTTCCAGAATTTATTTCATGGTCAGCTACTTTAATTCAATCCTCACCATCCAATGGAGTTTCTTTTCCCAGAGACATTCCTGTAAACCAGTAGTTGGACCCCAGGGAATATTTGGTGATGTCTGGAGACACTTGCGGTTGTCACAACTGGGAGGGGAAGGGGAAGGATGCTGGCATCTAGTGGGTAGAGGCCAGGAATGCTGCTGATCCCTACAATGCACAGGACAGCTCCCCATAACAAAGAGTTATTCTGCCCAAAATGTCAACAGTGCTGAGGCTGAGAAACTCTGCTTTAAGACAATGTTCCACTATAGTATATGCTCTTTGCCTATGCTCTTTACTCCTGTTTCAAAACCACAGTAGGCTTTACCTATAAGTTTCTTACTCATTTAAAGTGTACTTTCACCGCTACTTGACATAAAAAGGACTCACTTTACTGATTCACCAGCAATGCTATATATAATGGGGAATAGGTGGCCCTAGGATTAAGTGGCAGGATGTGCTAGGAGGGAATTAAAGATGTAAGATAAAATGACAAAATTTTATGGAGTATTTTAGTCAAATATTTATTTAGACAAGTATTTGGGAACAAAGTATTTTTATATTTAAAAATATAAAAATACCTTTAAGCTAAACAACAAAAGTTTAACAAAATTTCAGGCTTTCAGTAGAAGATATTCATTTTCTTTACAAATTAGACTTAGTGTAGAGGAAAAATTTTAGAAGCACTGCCCTGGAGACCCCAGAAGGGATGCCCAAATCTTTTACATTTTACTCAGGCCCTCAATTCCAACCAAGACATCAACTTCAATAACTGCTCCTATCCAATCTCTCTTCACACCTCTACACTCTCTCTTCCTTTCCTCCTCCCTCTTAAAAACTCCCTAGACTGCAGGCTCCATTAAGGCAGGGACTCTATCTTATTTATCCCCAAATTCAACACCCTACATCAAGTCAAGTTCCCAGCACTGAGTAGGCACAATAAATGTTTTCTGAAAAATAAAAAATTAATAAGAATAAATAATCTCTCACTAGGGGAAGAGAGGGTGTTGGGAGAGGGATTAACGAATACCAATTACAAGTGGTTCATGATAAAATGCCAACATGAGTAAACAAAGGGCAGAGATGGCAACAAAACACACATGCACGCATTTTCACTTAAAATAAGCCTTGTAGTCTTATAGCCCCCTCGATGTCTCCCTTTCTCAAGAAGTATAGGGATAATTTCTAAATTTCTGAAAAAGAATCCTACATCCCACAGTTAAAAATAAAAGCAACATGATGAAGAGTATCTGTTGCATGATGTCAAAGAAAAGCTAATGTGATACGACAATTAGTTTCAATCCGAAGAACTATCACAAAGGTACAGTCATGCGCCACATAACTATGTTTCGGTCAATGATGGACCAAATATACAACGGTGGTCCCATAAGTCAGTACCATATAGCCTAGGTGGGCAGTAGGCTATACCATCTAGGTTTGTGTAAGTACATTCTGTGATGTTTGCACAACGACAAAATCACCTAACGACACATTTCTCAGAATGTATCCCCATCCTTAAGCAACGCATAACTGTATATGAAGTTCATTCAAAGTAAAAAGTCTGATTGGTTGCTGTGTGGAGGGGTGTGCTACTATTTGGGTTTTTTTCAACAGACCTATAAGAATTTAGATATTCAAATGAGCATCATTCTCATTCCAAACTAAATGTTATAATTGAAATTCCTGTTTGGGATATGCCTAGAGAGTCAGATTCCTTATGTGTACTAAAATTGAGCTCATAGCTTTCTAATCACTTTTGTTTCTGACTCCAACTTCATTCTCTGAATCTTTACTGCCAAGCTTGGATTCAAATTAATTATGAATGTCTGTGAAAGTCAACTCTTTCCTTAAAGCATGAACATTTGCCTCTATTAAGTACATCCATAAGAATGTGCCAGAAGGCTATCTATGCAACACTGCACATTCTTAAATAGCAGCAGTTCTCAAAGTATGGTTGAAGGATCCTACGAGTCCCTGAGACTATTTTAGGTTGTTGACGAGGTCAAAACTATTTCATACTAAAACTAAGACATTATTTGCGTTTTTTACTTTCATTCTCTTACAAGTGTAGAGAGGAGTTTTCCAAAGGCTACGTGTGTGATGACACCATTGCTCTGATGGCTAATGGAATGTGTGCTTGTATATTCTTTTACTTTAAAAATTTCTCAGTTTTAATTTCTACTATGACAAATATCAATAAGATATTTGAAACAAAACCTCACAAAAACAAAACCTCTTTGTAATTTTATTTATTTATTTATTTTTTCCCCCAAAGCCCCAGTACATAGTTGTATGTCATAGCTGCACATCCTTCCGGTTGCTGTATGTGGGACGCGGCCTCAGCATGGCCGGAGAAGTGGTGCGGCGGTGCGCGCCCGGGATCCGAACCCCAGGCCGCCAGCAGCAGAGCACGCGCACTTAACCGCTAAGCCACGGGGCCGGCCCTACAAAACCTCTTTGAAGTCCTCAGTAATTTTTAAGAGTGTAAAGGGGTTCAGAGACGAAAAGTTTGAGAATCACTGCCTTAAATAAACAATCTTTCAACCTATTTGGCGGATATGAAAAAGTATAGCATAAGGTAATGATATCAGTCTGCAATACATTGCAGTCAATCTACCATTTCAAATAATTTGCTCGGGGCCGGCCCGGTGGCTCAAGTGGTTAAGTGCACGCGCTCCACTGCAGTGGCCCAGGGTTCGCCGGTTCGGATGCACCGCTTGTCAAGCCATGCTGTGGCGGCGTCCCATATAAAGTGGAGGAAGATGGGCACGGATGTCAGCCCAGGGCCAGTCTTCCTCAGCAAAAAGAGGAGGACTGGCAGATGTTAGCTCAGAGCCGATCTTCCTCACAAAATAAATAAATAAAATTAAATTAAAAAAACAAAAACAAATAATTTGCTTAAGAGTTATAATTAAAAGTCACTTGGAAAAAAGCTGTAAATTATATCATATTTTTAAAAAATGTCCTTATACTAGTCTACCAAATAGTTTTCATTTTAAAATGATATGGAACATAGCTCAGTCCACCTCCTCAGTTCTCGGAAAAAACTGAAAATGAACTCTGTACCTACCACACTTTAACATGGCAAATTCTTCAAGTGCAGGTAATATGTAGCTACTTTTCATGTTGGTAAATATTGAATTATTAACTTATATCTTACTTTTAAAAATAAATACGTAGAAAGTTCCTGTGGTAATTCTTTAACCTAAGAGTTTAAAATTACTACCAGCTACACTTTTCTCATTTTAATTGTATTTCAGGAGGCAGAAAACTTATTGGGGAGAGGGAGACTGTTGGTAGGGAACACCCTAGCAATTAACACTTACTTTACACGCCTTACACAGCTCCCAGTAAAACAAAAACCACAGCTTGCCCTGATGTTCTTTCAGCCTATCAAGCAGTACCCACCTCAGGGTCTCTGCCCCTGCTGTTTCCTCTGCCTTGAACACTCTACACTCTTCCTTCACATACCAGCATGGATTCTTCCTCACTTCATTCGGGTCTCTGCCCAAATGTCACCTCAGAGAGAACTTTTCTGAACATTGTATCTAAAGGAGCATCTCCATCACTTTCAATCCCCTTTGTCTGCTTTACTTTTCTTCACAGCACGTACCACTATTTAACACCTTATGTATTTGTTATCTCCCTAACTAGAATGTAAATTCCTCAAATGCCGGGACTTGGTTTTGTTCACTGTTATATCTTTAGTCACTTGAACAGCCCCCAGTATATAGCAGGACTCAATTTATCTTTGTGGAAGGGAGGGCGGGAGAGAGAAACACAAGCACATGCGAGTTTGGGGCAGTGGGAAGAAGGTTACTAAGGTATAAGTAGCTATGTGAGTTATACTGTCACTGAGTAGCTCTCAAAGAAGATTTTTTTTTAAAGTAATTCAGAGAAAAGAAGTTTTTCTAGTTGAAGTAAGAATTATTTAAAGTTTTCATGTGAGGACAAACTGAATTAATAAAGTAAACAGTGGAGACAAAGGTAATTATTATTTTTATTCTTTAACTCCCTATTACTAGTATCAAATAATTTATTTTTAAAAGGAAAAATATTAATTTACACTTCACTGCTAAAACTCTATGGGTCTAAAATTTACCTCCTTATAGAGGGAAAACATGGCTGCTTCACATAAAAGTGAAGCTTATCTTTCTGAACCAAAATTATACTTGAATGGAAATCATTCTCAAACAACATGATACCTAAGTAAAGAAAACATTCTGCAAACAGTTCAACCTTTTCTTAACTCATCATAAGTCAACAGAGTGAATATTGGTTATTTTATTTTATTAGAATACTGTGATGTTAAGACAAAAAGTTATATTTCAACACCCCCAAACTTCTATACAGGTCTTATTGTGTATCTTTTCCCTTTTTTCTCATAATTGTTCTAACATTTTTCACTCCTGGGAGATATACTTCCCATTATTGCCCTAACCCATAATCTGTCTCTTCCTGCTGTGTGTTACCTCTGTTATTCTTATTCTCTGCCCTTCACCCTTTTCTTTTCTGCTCTCTGTCATCTTCTAAGTTTTGTCAAGTTGGGCACCAACTTCCATCAGCTTTGGGAAATTAAGTTACTTTTACTCAGTGTGTACCAGCTACAACTCTTACAACTAGTAAGCTACCCCACTCTAAAGACAACTTTTCCCATTGTACCACAAAGCCTTCCATCATCTTTTCCCTACTTTCTTATCTATTGGGGAAGTAATGTTACAAAGTAGAAAGATAATAGGGATTTGTTATCAAGTCATCTGTGTTATCTCCGTCTATCAGCTACATAACCTCAGATAAAATTACAACCTCTGCAACTCACTGTCCATATTTGTAAAATGAGATCTATCAGCATCTGCCCATGCCAGAGCATGAGCTCCGGGTTCAACTGCCAGAGTTCAAAGACATTGGCTCTAACACTCATTAACTATATGACCTTGTAAAATGGGAATAACACCAGTACTTACCTTAAAGAGCTGTTGTGATAATTACATACATATAAGGTGCTTTGCACACAGTGCCTGGCTCAAGGTAAGTACTCAATAAATGTTAGTTACTATTAACTACTTTATGGATTTCTACTGAAAGATCAAACAGACTGGAACACAAATCATGTCTAAAAAACTATTTATTAATTCTAGAGGGCTATTAATCTATAATCATCACATCTTTTTGTGTATGTGTGTGAGGAATATCAGCCCTGAGCTAACATCCGATGCCAATCCTCCTCTTTTTGCCGAGGAAGATTGGCCCTGGGCTAACATCCGTGCCCATCTTCCTCTACTTTATATGGGACGCTGCCACAGCATGGCTTGACAAGCCGTGTGTAGGTCCGCACCTGGGATCCAAACCTGCGAACCCTGGGCCGCCAAAGTGGAGCACGTGCATTTAACTGCTGTGCCACCGGGCTGGCCCAATCATCATACCTTTTGACACTTTTCAGCAATTTGACTGCTCAGTGACTCAGAGGTTTCTGGGTTTTTTTAAAAATGTAAGTCATAGCTGCTCTAGAAGGTTAAAAGATACCAGATACCTACCTAATAAATAAAAAATTACATAGCTACTATACTAAACTTACTACCAATTAACGTCGAAGAAATTCATTCATTGAGAGAATTCAAAAGCTTATGATAGTGAAATAATTTTACTCCATTTCTATTTTTTCTTAGCAATATTTTTCTAAACGTTCAAAATGTATGACATATTCTTATATTCTATGACCCCTCTGTCATCATGGTCTTATTTGTCAAATGGGAATATGTAACTTTGCAACCTCCTAATACATCTGTGGGGAGCAATCAGTGCTTACAAACTTTTAAGTGCTATCAAAGCAGCGTCTTACAGCATAGTAGGTAGTTAGAAATTATCTCTTATTATTCTGAAGACTATTTAAAATATCTAATAATTACCTGTCTCAAATATTCTAAATATTAAAGGCAATTTAGAACTTATACAATTTTGCCTATCATAGAGGAAAGCTTTTTTTTCTCCTACTGATCACAAGTCATATCCAGTTTATTGCCATCCTGTAGGATTTTTGTTTTACTAATTCTTTTCTGGATACTGAGGAAATACACTAAGCTGTTGATGATTACAATAATTATACACACAAACACACACTTTTTTCTCTCCTCCAAATGATCACTTTCCACACTTACCTTGCCACTAATGATTTCTTCTACTCGCTCTTGGGGTGTCTGTCCAGCTTTCTGCCTCACCAAAACGTACACCGAATTCACCTTAGGACAAGACCTCAGCAACTTTTCCAAAAGTACCTTCCCTAAGAAACCAGTAGCTCCAGTGAGGAGGACATTCTTGCCTTCATAGTATTCTGGGATTGAAACCATTCTGATCCTAAGGAAAACACAGCAAATAAGCATCAGTTCAAAGATCTACATTCATTCTTACATACTAAAAATCTCTTTGGTATTCAAATAAAGGACAGGCAAAAATCAAAGCTGAATGTTAACGAAAGAGGACTTCAACATCTGGTTCACTGTAGAAACGTGGAAAGAACAACGAACTGAAGCAATGGCTTCTAATCCCTGTGTTTTCCCCCGGATCACCTCAGACAGGACACTCACCTTCTCTGGGCCTGGGTTTCTTTTGTACAGTTTGTACTAAATGACCTCTAAAAATTCCTTCCTGCAATAAGAACCCAAATCTTCATTTAAACCTCAGTTAACCTAAACACGAATGAATGGTGTTTCTCTGTCTCCAAAAAGATTTATAACACCAAATAGAGGTTAGCAGCAAGACTCAATTGCCTAGCTTGTATAACATGGTGAGGTGTCATATTCACCTATCATCGCCAGCTGAAACAAGAACAGGTAACGCTAAGTCCTTTCTCCCACATGCCTGTAGTGACAATATATCCCAAAACTGCTTAAATTAAATCTCACTTTTAAAAAAACCAAACATAATAAAAAATACACGGGCTGACTTATCCTCCCTACCCGCTGACTTATCCTCCCTACCCAAATATCACTGAAATAGCAGAAAAGATAATATACTAAGAGAAGGAACAAAAGAACCATGATGAATGGAAAAAAGCAAGATACAGAAGGATTCGTGTAGTATGTCACTATTCAAAGCTCAAACACATTCAAAACAATGCTCTTTATTGTTTAGAAATGCATATACATGATAATATTAATAGATGCATGAGAGGGAGCGCAATACGATCAGAGACTGAGGAGCTTCAATTATGTTTTATTTAAGCTGGGGAGTAGATACATGTGTTTTATGTCCAAATTTTTCATAATTAAAAAAAATTCATAATAATCTGAAAATAAGAAATAGACCTACTAACAAGCAAAACTGAAGGAAGGGAGGAATTTCTAGAAGAACCAGATGAGACTAAATTGATAGAGAAGCCACAGCAGAAGAAATAACAACCCCAGCAACAAGCATAGGAAAGGACTATAAGGAGGCAAGAGCTGTCCCAACCCCCTAAATAGAAAACACCAAGCTCACGATCAAGAAGCTGAATCAAAGCGTAGGGAAATCAAGGTTGTGAAAGGATTGCTCACAGAACAGCAGAGCCACTCATGACAGTCTTACTTCCTGTATAAACTTTGGTTCCTAGGCTTAGTATCCAGATCTGCTGAGAAGAGCATACAGCATGGGTGCTAGCGACAAAAGAGAACTAGGGCTGGGCCTGAGGTTGCTCCAAACATCCACAAATGGAGGTGGGGGAGGCAGGGGATCGGGAGAGAGGAAACAAAACAACCAAAAGAAAAAAGTCTTCATAGCACTCGAGCCCCAGAATAAATTTTAGGTCGTCAGCCTATCTGGCTCCTGCTGGCCCTTAAACTCATGCAGAGTTCTCAATCAGTAAACCCATTTGGAGAAAAGCTCTTGTGGAAAAACAGACCTCAAGTAACTTGAGAGGAAGCCAATATCAGCTACCAAAACCAACCATCCTAGTTCTTCATAAATATGAATAGATAACCAAGGATCACCAGATATTTGAGGAGTACCTACAAAATTTTCAAGAAGGACCAAAATGAAAATCAAGAGAAACAATCACAAAGGAAACTAAGCTAATGAAAAATTTACAGAGAATTTAAATTCTAACAAATACCTTCCCAAGCCATTCGCAAGAATACTGCATCCATAAAATGACAAACTACTATGAAAAAAAAAAAAAACCAAAGAATAAGAAAGCATTTGGAAATCAGAAATTCAGATGTACACAGAAAATCCAATAAATACACAAATATTAGAATTACCAAGTGAATTTAAGAAGGTCACTGGATACAAGGTTTATATGGGGGAAAAAATGCATTTCAGTACACCAGCAACACACAGGAAATGAAGTAAAAAAACACACTATACTACTTATAATAATACCATCCAAAATACCAAAACATTATGAAAAGTAGCAAATATTGATCAGAATGTAGAGAAATTGGAACCTGTGTACATTGCTGGTGGGAACATAAAATGGCTCAGCTGTCGTGGGCAAGTTTGGCAGTTCCTCAACAAGTTAAACACAGAATTATCATAGGACCCTGCAATTCCACTCCTAGGTATATACCCCAAAAGAACTGCAAACAGGTACTCAAAACAAGTACATGTACACACACGTTTATGGCAGCATTGTTCACAACAGCCCTAAGTACAAACAGCCTAAATGTCTATCAACAGATGAATGAATAAACAAATTATGGTATATACATACAACGGAATACCATTCAGCCACAAAAAGGAATGAAGTACTGACAGATACTACAGTGGAGGACGAACCTCAAAAACACATTAAGTGAAAGAAGTCAGATACAAAAGATCACATACTATATGACCTCATTTATATGAACTATCCAGAATAGATAAATCCTAGAGACAGAATGCAAACTGGTGGTTGCCAGGAGCTGAGGAGTGGGAGAGTGGGCAGTGAAGAGAAACTGCACAAGGATTTTTGCTTTGGAGAGATAGAAATGTTTTAGAACTAGATACAGGCAATGGTTGCACAACATTGTGAATGTAGTAAATGCTACTGAATTTTTCACTTCAAAATGGTTAATTTTATATTATGTGAATTTCACCTCAACAAATTACTTTTCTGAAAACCACCAGAAATTAGAAATAAATTTAAAAGACATATAAGACCTCTATTCTGAAAATTATAAAACATTTAAAGAAATTAAACAATATCTAAATAAACGGAGAGATATTTACCACATTCCTGGATTGGAAGACACCTTTATAAGATGTCAACTCACCATCCTTAGGTTCAATAGACAAAAGGGAAACCAGAGTAAAAGATATTTGTAGTATGTATAATGACAACTGATTACTATCCAGAATATATAAAGAACTGCAAATCAGTAAGAAGAGATAAACCAATAGAAAAATGGGAAAGGCTTGAATGACATAAGGATGCCTAAAGAAGAATATCCAAACGGCATTACAAAAGAAGATCCAAATGGCCAATTATCACGCGAAAACAGGCTCAACACATTAGTTATCAAGTTAAAACCACAATGTGATCCCACTACACTGTCCCCAGAATGGCTAAAATGAAAGACAGACAATACATAGTACTGGTAAGGATACAGAGTACTGGAACTCTCACCTACTGCTGGAGGAAGTAGATTGGTATAACACTTAGCAAAAGTGGTATTACCTACTGAAGTTCAACATACAGATATTGTACGACTTAGCAGTTCCACTCCTAATTATATACCCAACAGAAATGAGTACATATATTCACCAAAAGACTCATAAACAAGTATGTTTACGGCAGTACTATCCCTATTGGCCCAAAATTAAAACAACCCAAATGTTTGTCAACCGTATCTTATATAAATTGTAGTATATTCATACAATGGAATATTAAAAAACAATGAAAATGAAGGAAACATTGCTACACACAACAAGGATGGGGCTCTCACTAAAAGAACATTGAGCCAAAGAGGTCAGATATAAAAAGCGTATACTATATGACGTCATTTATATTAAGTTCAAAAACAGGCAAAACTCATCTATGGTTAAAAGTCAGAACAGTGTGGGGCCAGACCAGTGGCATAGTGGTTAAGTTCGCACGCTGTGCTTCGGCAGCCTGGGGTTCGCAGGTTTGGATCCCCGGAACGGACCTACTCACAACTCATCAAGTCATGCTGTGGCAGCATCCCACACACAAAATAGAGGAAGACTGGCACAGATGTTAGCTCAGGGACCTTCTTCCTCAAGCAAAAAGAGGAAGATCGGCAACAGACGGTAGCTCAGGGCCAACCTTTCTTACCAAAAAAAAAAAGAAAATCAGAACAATGGTTATCTTGCAGAGGAGGAAGAGGTAGTGACCAGTAGGGAGTGTGAAGGAGGCTTTTGGGATACTGGTAGTGTTCTATTTCTTGATCTGGATGGCTCATTTTTAAAAAATTCATCAAGCTGTACACTTAGGATTTATGGACTTTCTGAATGTATATGTCAATAAAAAGTTTATTTTAAAAAACAGAAGGTGATCGTATATTGTAGTTTGCCTGAAACAAGCCTGGTTTATACATGCTATCCCAGCTTAATTTTGAGTAGGGCCCCCTTTCTCAAAAGTGTTCCAGTTTGCACAATAAATTATATGGTTAACTCCAATTATAACCTGCTTCAGATCTAATAAGACTATTTCAAGATTTCAGTGAACAAGAAACCTAATTAAAACTATAGAACATTAAAGTTAAAATGTTAATAACCTCATAGGGGAGAAATGAAGAATAATTCTGTATCAATACACCTAACAAATCTTACAGGAATTTATGAAAACTACATACTAAATATATGTTAAACAGTGTCCTGAGAACATGACCTAGAACAAGTTATCTAATTCTCTGAGCTTCACTTTCTTATATGTAAAAATTTCTTCAACAAATATTTATCAAGCATCTACTAGATACCAGGCACCAGAAAGTTTTCCATGGGTGTACACATATGCATTTAAGACAAAAAGATATTAAGCAGTTTTCCCTCTAATAATTGAGCCTGAATATGTGACTGGCTCAATCCTAAAAAAGCACAACTACATACTTTCTTCCCTCATCTACCAGGACATCTTCCCTATAAAGCCTTAATAGCAAATCTGTTAACACCAAATAGTAGAAATTTTTTACCAAACTTAATTCTCTCTCCTCAAGCTTAACAGTATAAAGATTGTTTTCTAAGAGAGTTGCAGAAAAACCGCTTATCAGTTTCAGTAACTAGCTCAAAGCTATTTATATGTGATTTTATCCTACTATAACGACTTACATGGTTTTCTTCATGAAGAAAGTACAGAATTCCCACAACTCCCCCACCTCATCACAACGCCACCAACTTTACAAGCACTAAGTATTTTAAACTCCATCTCTAGGTATTCTTGA